AGGATCTAGAAAATAATCGAGGTTGATTTAGTAAAATCGTAACAATATGTTATACGTTCTCTGCGCCTATCAATTGTCAATCGTGTTTTGGATTTTTCGCTGCATTATTTTTTGTAAGCTAGCTGGTGACCAGCAATTCGCCGAACAGAACTATTTTTACCATATTTTTTTTTAAATTTGACATATGTTTGATATACCGCCAAAGATTTTTCATTTTTTTCCGCTCTGAAATAGATTTTTCCTTAAGTTGTGAATTTAATAAATATGGGTGTTAAAGATCTATGGTCCGTCCTGGCACCGTATGCTGACAGGAAGCCTCTAAGTGAGTTACGAGGTAAAAAGGTTGCAATTGACCTGGCTGGTTGGATCTGCGAAAGTTTGAATGTGGTTGATTACTTTGTGCATCCCAGACATCATTTGAAGTATGTAGCGGTAAATAGTTGGTCCGAAATCAAAAACTTCAAATTTGCGATTGATCTATATATTTTCGTTCCAAAATAGAAATCTGTTTTTTCGAACATGTTATTTGATATGGGAAGACGTGACACCGGTGTTTGTCCTAGAAGGAGAGGCACCAAAAATAAAAAGTCAAATAATTGCAAAACGCGCCGAGTTGCAATTCCGTGGTACGAAGCCCACTCAAAACAAGAAAATAGAGGCACACTCAGTTCAAAGCAAAGAAAAGGATAAAGGACGCACGAGATTTAACCATGTGTTGAAGCAGTGTGAAAACTTGTTACAGTCAATGGGTATACAATGTGTACAAGCTCCTGGCGAAGCTGAAGCATATTGTGCGTTTTTAAACAAAAAAGGGGTATGTAATACATACATACATATATCCAAAGCCTTTATTTTGAAATTATTTAATTTGCATTTTTTAATAATCAGCTAGTTGATGGCGTGATTAGCCAGGATTCGGATTGCTTTGGTTATGGGGCTATACGAGTATATCGTAACTTTTCTGTTTCGACTCAGGGTGCACAAGCCGCTCAAGGAGGTGCAGTAGATATTTATGATATGAAAGAAATAAAAGAGAAAATGGGTTTGTATGATTATGGTCGGGACATTTCATAACATATAAAATACATAAACATTTGTGTCTTAAGATTTCGGCCAGCACAAAACCATTGTTATGGCCCTACTCTGTGGTTGTGATTATTGTCCAGATGGTATCGGCGGTATTGGACGAGATGGTGTTCTAAAATTATTTAATAAATACAAAGAGGTGGAAATAATAGAAAGGTATCTAGAGATAACATTCGGCAATACAACTAAAAAGTTCGTTAATTGCGATAGATCCTACAGATGTTTGAATTTTTTTATGTTTATATGTTTTGAATATATATATTGGAAAATTTTATGAATTTTTAGAATAAGATCATGGCGCCATGAGGATAGTAAATATACTGCATTAGAAATGCGTGTTGATGATAAAATGATTTGCGGCAATTGTGGGCACATGGGTCGTACACAGAGCCATACAAAAAGCGGTTGTGGCGTTTGTCGCACTAGTAGCGGATGCGATGAAAGCCTCTGGAAGTAAGTACACTCAACTTTGTATTAGAATACTAGCAATTCATACTTAATAACCTTGAATAAGTATATTCTATTTACATATATATACATATGTAAACATTTTTTTTTAACATATTTAACTTTTTTTCTTAGAGAAGAACGTTTATCCTTAAAAGCAGAGCTTTCGCTACGCAAAAAGGCTTTAATAGATCCCTCATTTCCATCGGAAGAAATCATCGCGGAATTTCTTAATGAGCCAAAATCAGTACCAAAATTGAATTTAACCTGGCGTCAGCCTAATGTAGTTAAATTTGTGAAACAAATCGGACATCTTTTACAATGGACGGAAATTTACTGTTTCCAAAAATTTCTTCCACTCTTAGCACGCTGGCAGGTACAGAATATGTCCAGAATAACAGAACTAAATGCAGTACCACAAATATCAATAAAAGAAATAGTAAAGAAGCGAACAGTACGGGGTGTCATCAGTTTTGAAATCATTTGGCAGGACGATAGAGGATTTTTCAATAACCTTATACCAGAAAACCAACTCCAGGATTTTGCGGAAGAAAATCCAAAAGGTCTTACAGGTCTCTGGAGTACTGTAGAACCACTCTGTTTGGTTGAAAATGCATACCCGATTATTGTAACTGACTATTTTAGATCTAAAGAAAAACCGCCAAAAGCAGCAAAAGGTCGACGAAAAGCTAAAACTTCCCAAAAATCAGCATTAAGCTCATTGGAAAATCTCCACGACTTAATTACTGTCACCGAAGAGGTAAAAAAAAATATCAAGGCAAGATCAAAAACGCAAACTGTGCATGGCAACAAAAGAGGCTTACAAATGATTGATAAATTTTTTAAGCAACAAAATCGAACAACACCTAATTCGCAAATTGAACTTAACGCTACACCCATTAAGCATAATTTGTATAAATTTGTGTTGTGCTCAACACCTGTAACTAAATCAATTCCATCGGATTTAGATAGTGATTGTGATGATTTAGATAATGATATTTCAGATGTTGTAAATGGTATAGTACGTACTTCTAATCGGTTTCCAAAAATTACAACACACAACGGGCTTCCACTGCACTATGAACCAGTTACAGAACAACTAAGTCTCTTACTCAGTGATTGGAGCATTAAAGATGATTTAGATTTAATAACACAAAAAAGAAATTTGTCCATATGCTCCCAGAAAGCGCCGAATTGCTCGCCCTTAACAAAACGTATGTCACTAGACGATAGTTTCGATGCTTTAGTGAACTCGAAACGCCATAAGCTACAGAACCTAACAGAAAAGGCGAAGAAACTAAATTTATTTCCCAGTTCAACATCATCGCCGATATTGAAAACGCATTTAGACCGATTCAAAGAGCAAAATTCCCTACATTCCTCGCCATCAATAATGCATCAACAAAGTCAAATAAACAAAATGGAAAAAATGGATGCTGTGTCACAGAATGGAGAAACTGTAAATGTTAGTTATTTCTTTGATAAAAGTATTACTGGAAACGATGAATTCGAAAAGTTAATGGATTTGAGTTTATTGAAAAAACCCACAGTGAATGCAGATTGTAACGCTCCAGTTGATTACTTAATTATAAGCGAAAGCAGTGACGATGATTGTTGATGGTGTGTTAATAAAATAAATGTGAATTTTTGTGTAAATGGGAAGCCATATTTGCCAACCATAAACATATTTTATACAATTATTGCACACTCTGACTGACGCAACTTGAAAAAATAGTTTTTTCCATACAGAAAAATGAATAATATGAATTTAAGTATAGCACATGGTATTAGTTAAGTATATTAATATAAATTTTTTCTGCTAATAAGCTTCGTACACTTTTCTTACTAGCCTGTTTACCTATAAATAAATAAATAATGTATAATATATTATATCAATAAAAAATGAATGTATGTGTTTGTTCACTAAATCAATAATCAATTATTGAAACTAGGGTAGTTTCGGTACTCAAAGATGGGACGAAAGAACGATTTTTAATCCATCGTGGTTTGGATGTAAATACGAAACATATTCTGACAACGGACTTAAAATTTACAGGCTGAGAAATCGCCCTAAAATGATCATTACTGTTTTTTCCATAAGGAGTGCGATGTCAAAAACACTTCCGTTGGACGTTGGACCGGCATTTCCGCCGAGTGAATAGTATTTTTTTATATTTTTTGGTTGTAGTTTTTGTTGCAGGTCTCTGCATATGTATATACATATGCGTACTTTGGTATTAATGTGTATGTCTATAACAATATTCATTTTCTTTCATGCCTAACACTTGGTTACCTTAGAAACATTACTATTTTATTTGTAAACACTTTTCTTAGTTTTTATCATTGTCTTTACGAATTTTCGAGCAAACTAAAATATATCTTAATACAGCAGATAAACAAAAACTTAAATAATGGAAGATTTATCCGATTACTCTTCAGAAGTTGTAGAGTTTTTACCAACACAACAGTTAGGAAAAGTTTGCCAAATGATAGAAGCATGTGTAAGCACTGATCCGGAGCCATTGAATCGAGATCAATCTGTGGAGACAACATTGCAGTCACATACGAGCACACAAACAGAAGTATCTACCACGCAGCAATGTCAAGTCGATGAGCAAAAACTTGCCGTTTGGTTGCGAAAGATATATCCCGCAGTAGAGGAGCAGCTTCTTAAAGGACCAACACCACTAAATACCGGCTATGACAGCTTTGGGAATATCTCAGACACAGAGTCGAAAATACAAACATATCAAAAAATCACCATGGAAGGGTTGGAAAATTCAATAGGCATCGCTGCTTGGTTGTCGGTGCATACAAATAAAGCCCCAATATTGGTAGTCAGCACCAAGGCACCGCACGATGATTGGTGCGATCATTTGCAACAAACTTTAAAACTTTTCGTACCGAAACGGATGCCACCCGGTAACTTCGTTATCTTTAGCGAAGTAAAGAGTATACCGTTAAAGGCATGTCTCAGCGTTCTCAGTACGAATGCCTACAATAAGAGCGTTTTTGCTGGCTCAAGTATGGACGGTGAGATACACATATGGCTTTGTCGTTCGGTTGGTCGAGCTGGTGATAGCAACGTTAATGCAAAAGCAACAAGTGTTACACATGAAATCGACGAAATGTGCTGTGCAACATCGCAACATAGCTATGCTGTGGCGTTAGATTGGTTAACCGAAAATCGTCTACTTAGTTTTCATGAGAATGGTGCTATTATATCTTGGGCCGTGGGCAAGGAATTACTTTTTGAAACTGAGTAGGAGCATTTTTTACTACAATTATTTGTAGGGATTATATATGTATATCCATGCCATTGTGAAATGTAGAAAGGGTCTAACTGACTTTTTAAATTTTCTTTTTTTTTATTTACCAATTTGTGTCAAATAATCTAACCACATAAAAAATATTGAATGCAAAATTATCTTATTGTCGCACTGGAAAATCGAACACATTGTCAGATAAACCATTCAACATTTCATATAGAATGCTTATCTATATATATATATGAATATACATGGCTTATTTTTATTCAGTTTCCAATTAAAAGTCCAAGCCAACACTTCCAACGAAATTACTTCAGCAGTTTGCTTAAGTTCGAATACATTTGTTGTCGGAGTCAAAGACGGTTCCATATTTATATGCACTATAACCAGTTTTAGTGCAATGCGAAAACAAATGGAAATAATACCTTTAAGAAAACATGTATTTACTATCTCGACATTATTGAAAACAACAATCAATGGCCTGCGCGCAGTAGTAAGTTGTGACTTGAGCGGTCAAGTGCACTGCCACAGCATAACAAATATGGATGTGGTAAGTATGGATGGTAAGGTGTCAATATGACTAGACATACGAAATGCTCGGTTTTTATTAATTTGCAAATTGCAAATCCACAAGTATTTACTTCAAGATTTTTTCCAAACGAACTGTTTTTCTTTTTTTTTAACATTTTTTCATCTGAAATTATGTGAATCCATTTATAGGAAGCTCCAGATGTCATACAAATTCCGTTGCCATTTAAAAATGTCATTGCATCTTCCAAGGACGGGAATATTATTTATAGTCCCGGAATCGATGGCGCTTTGGAGTGCTATAAGTATATTTATTAAATTTATGCAGGCTTTTATTAATAAATACATAATACATTTTGTTTGAAATTCCAGTATGCAAAATGGTACACATACTATTATTGATGGCGTGTTAAGCGGCAAAGGGAATTTCATTACATGTAGCGAAAATGGGTAATTAGTAAAATACGATCAATATATATTTTAGCCAATTTAGATACTCACTTCTAATTCACAATTCTTTCTGTTCCATAGAAACTGGATTATCACGGGACTTTACGTAGACGATTTCCAAATATTTTATGTGGAGCACTGAATATCGGCTTATAAAGCAACAAACTAAGAAGTGTTTATATAATTATTTTAAAACATCGAATCACCAAATTAAATTTAAAAATTGTTGGCTTATACATATGTTTGCATGTATTTATACATACGTAAATAAAATAATGGAAAGAAATATTTTGTTTATTAAATGTAATTTATTGTGTACGATTTTACTATATACATATGTATTAAATTTCTTTTATTTACCAAACTTATCCAATTATCTTACTGGTAAACACTCCACAGCTGAACATAAAATAATTATCATTTCCAAAGTATAATAGATTTATATTGTATAATTATTTTATATAGTAACCAGTTTTTTTATCATATACATGTACATACGTATATGAATATAGATACAAACACACAAATTTTTATATAATTCTTCAATCAAACATATAATTTTTTTACAAATCACAGGCACAAATTAGTTAATAAATGTGCTTCGTTACTGATATTCAAGTTTTGATACAGTAGGTTTCTGAGATATTAGTCTATTATTTTCTTAGGGGAAAGTAGAAAATTATATGGGGGCGAACGTTTCATTGGAAACATTTCCATTTAAAATAATTATTACCTGCTTTTGTACATTGATTTAGATGTACTTATCGTTATGTATATATCAGACATTAATACGGATTAATTTTTTAGAAATGAAATGATTGTAAAAATCAAATGAAATAAATGTTCTTACAACTAATCATTTTTATCATACAATTGTGTTTTTGTAAATATTTATGTAAACAATATTAATTATACAACGATAGAGTGCGTTTGTTGTAATGTGACATTATATTGATAAATTTAAGCCTAAATGATCCTAATATATCCTACATTATACATAAAATCGTATATATTTTGTGATGTTTTCTTCTGTTTAAAGCAGTAGTTAAGAGAAAATATAATAAAAGTTTGTATATATAATTTTAAGAATTTATTTAAAACATATCAAAAATATATACATATGCATATACTCACATATTGGAATAAATTGGGTAGCACAAAGCGTACATAAATATTAATTAATATCGACTTGAATTCTCTCAGTTGTAAAATATTGCAAAATTTACGAAATTTGGCTCCGCCAAAATAAAATTAAGAGCTACAAATTTCTAACATTCAACATATGAATACAGACTTGCCAAAAACAATTCGATAAATATTCGCTAGACGCATACATATATTAGATGCCAGCCCGTTCATGAATGCTATAAACACAAAATTCACACGTACGTGGATATTGTAAAACTAACAATAATGATATCGAAAACATTTTAGTAATTTTTTTTTTTTTTGGTACTGCTATCGTTATACCTCGATGACAAAACGTCCACTGTAGATCAATTATCAATAGTTTTAGTTGAACAAAACAGTGTTAGGATCTTCATTATCCATTTGCTTAACGTGACGCAAAACGTCTTTCTTGGTAATAACCCCAAGAAGGCGTCTGAAAGTGTAAAAAAACAGTATTTTTACTATTAAAAATCGGTAAATAAAAGCGTGTATTTACCCGTTGTGTGTCACTAATGTTTGCCGCAAACCTAACTTTCGGAACATATCCACCACAGTTTCCATAGGTGTTTGGTCAGTTACCGTTATGGGTGCCATATCCAGTATTTTTTTTAATTTGAGTGGTGGTGGTCCAAGATTTTGAATTGGCGCCGCTGATGTGAATAATACTATTGATGCCCCCGTGATACCCTCGATAAGCCGTTTAGCATTTTCTAAGTTCATAAATAAAAATTTAAAAAATCATTGTTAAACACATAAGCACATTGGGCTTACCTATAGCTAAATTTAGATCCCTGCGTAGCACGAAGCCCACTAAATACTGATTCTCCTTCGACACCACCACTGGATATCCATTGTGTTCGGTTTCTTTTAGTAATGTCTCAATATCGTCTACGGTCATCGAGTCTTGTGTGATAACATTGAGGGTTTCATTTCTCCTGATAATAAACATACACGTGAATGTTAATAGAAATATCCAATTTTAAAATTTTACTTCAACGCATTTATTTGAAACCACTTACTTTGGTTGCATCACGTCAGCTGCCAGTGTTGTATGCGCAAACTCTTCTTTACTGTCTAGGAACGGATAACCGTTAAGAGCTATGTGTGCATCATAGATACCCTAAAAATGTATTAAAGGGAAAAATCAGTCAAAAAAACGTATTTCGCTATTTATTCGAAATACATATGTATGTACTCATACTCACTTGTCTTCCAAGAGCATCGCCCACCCATTTAGAGGCCATCGCTGCCGCCATCAGTGGTACTATATAACCTACACCGCCTGTCAACTCAAACATTATCACCACCAAAGAGACAGTCATGCGTGTCACACCACCCAAAGTAGCAGCAGCGCCCACCATGGCATACAAGCCTGGTGTAATCAGGTTTTTGCCATTAACACATTCACCCGTAAAGAGCCATATATTTGGATAACTGTAGGCGAAGCGTTCCACGCCTGAAACATAAGCAAAGTAAATTTATCAAAAAAAAAAAGATAAATAAAAAAAAACAACAATATATTAAAAGCTTACCAATGCCAACAATACGTCCCATAATTGAACCCAATAGTAATGAAGGTATGAATAAGCCTGCTGGTACTTTCATGCCAAATGTGAAAACAGCTAGCGCTAACTTGAAAACAAAGGCTAATAACAGTAAAATAATGGCGTGATATACACCTGGGCCTGGTTCAGTTACTTCTATCGAAGATGTGGCTCCGTTTGTAATATTCATACGTTTGTAGTCGCTAGAAATGTTAATAGTTATTTAAATAAAACGAAGCGTATCGAAAAGGAATTCTAATCATGCTAACCAAAGTGGATTCGTGTTGTCGCCAGGTGAACATTGACTAAAGAGCAAATAAATGAGCTCGTTCATGTTCATGCGTGTGAATGGATTAGGAAAACATAAAATCCCAGTAACGAGTGTGACTACCAGCACTTCGGCAACAGGATATTGACCCAATTTACTAAATTTACGATACCGACACCACCATAAATTGGCTTTTATGAAAATTGTACCAATAACGCCCTGTAAGCATTAAAAGGCATTAACTTATAAAGATGAAAACTTTATACATATTTTTATTATTATTATTTTTTATTTATACTTACGCCCATTATGCCTAAGAAAACGAATGGAATAAGTTCGAAAAATATCCAAGGCTTATTGTATTCAACGAAAAATAGCACTGAATGTTCATTGCCGAAAGGTGTGAGTGAGCGCAAAACGAACGCTGCAATGAGTGCACAGAAGAATGAGCGCCATAATGTTTTTAGCGGAAAGTAGTACGAGACTTCCTCAAGTGAGAAAAGGACGCCGCCTATTGGTGCACCGAAGGCTACCGAGACACCGGCTGCTGCAGCTGCGGATAAGATCTCACGTTTCTTCGCTTCATTTCGTCCATATTTTGGAAACATATGAGAGAATATGTTACCAATACAGCTCGCAATATGTACCATGGGGCCCTCTTTTCCCAGCGTTAAACCGGCCGAAACAGAAAGCATTAGGCCAACAGATTTGATTAACAAAGTCCATTTGCCCAAATAACCGCGTATAATAAAACCAGAAAGTATGGTCTTAATCTCAGGAATACCCGAACCACAAGCGTAAGGCGCAAACATGCGTACCAGTGAAGCGCTCAATGCGGCAAACATCAAAGCCCATAAAATAAACCAAAAGTACGAAATAATATAGGCACTGGTGCCATTGCGTGCCATGCCCATTATCTCTGGCCAAGTTTTCCACTACAAATAATGAAGAGTAAGTAATATTTCATTTACGATATTCATTATAGTACATACCGTTGAACAATTGCCTTCTTCGAAAACTGATTGTTTAGTTGGCCAACAACATTGCTCGCGATTGAACCAAAACGCTTGTGGGCAAATGCCATGCTTCAAATCTGACATCCAACTAGCCCCTATATCGATCATTCCAGCTACAAAACCTGCAGCAATACCAACAAAGAGTACACATAACCAGCCGGACCAGGCATCGTGAGCGCCCTAAGGAAATAAATAGTTTTCATTATTATACGAATGTAAATTCATGAAATGTACAAAAGTACGCACCTTTAGCAAATCCCATAATGAGTCCTGTCGCTTTTTCACTATGTAACGATGACGCATGCGATCACGAGCAATATCACGTTGCCAATCGATAGTATGGAAATCATCGTATTGTCCAATACCAGGTATTTCATCGTGCGGATCTATATATTTAATTAAAAAAGTTTGCACATTTCTAAATATTCAATACAAATGTATATGTAAATGTGCTGCAATTATAATATTTCCAGCACTTACCCGAAGCGCCATAGAACGCCATTCCACCTTAAGCCATGAAGAAATATGAATAAGTATGAATATTTGGTTTTGCAAAAATATTAACAAATAGATATGTATGTATGTACATATACAGGCATATGTGTGCATAAACAAAAAAATGTTATGTGAAACAAAAGATATTTATTTGAATTAATTATAAACCTATGTACATATGTACACGTATATAAAACGCCGCACTGTTTGCTCAAGAGCGAAGTTTTCAAATAATCTGATACTCGTAATTTTGATTCGAGAGCGCTTACATTCTTTTTATTAAAAAAAAAAAAAAAAAAAAAAAAAAAAAAAAAAAACGGTAATATTTCTTTCCATTTTTAATTGATTTTTTTTACCTATAAATGAGTGGAGAGCATGTCCTTATGGTAAGAATTTGAGTGTGTGTGCGTGTCATGGTTGATATATTTATTTTTAAGAATTGTTTGTATTTTGACAATAAATGAATATTTTAATAATCATATTACAGCTTTTGCATTTCATTTAACAAATTACGTTATATGTTTAACAATCAAGCAAATTATGATCAGTGAATCATGAGCATATTAATTTAATCTATATTGGCTGTCCAAATTCAAAAAAAATTTATCGTACATGCGTTAATTAGCTGCTAACGAAGAGACAAATTGAATGCGTCAAAATTATCTAGAATATCTCCATATACTTATGTTGACAAATTCTCTTTGGTGATATTTTGTTAGTTTGCACGGCCCACAAACAATTGCCAGTTCGCACTTGCAAGCACGACAGATATCTACTACAAAAGAAGATGAAATACATATGTATGTACATACATACAAACAATTGACATGAATAATTTCCGAAACTGCAGCTTACATACATATATGTAAAATTGTATATCTACACACGTAATATGATGATCGTCAGTTGACAATTAGGTTGCATTAAAAAGTATCAAAGAGATATAGTAGCACATCAAACATTAATGACAAGGTGTTCAATTATTTATTTTATTCATATTAGCTTTTTAATTTAGAATATCAGAACATCTGAAATTAATATGTACGCTGGCCTCTTTATTACAGCAAAATACTTTAGCAGCCATGAGCTTAAAACGTGTGCAAATTTAAATACTGAACAAGATTGGGGATTAAGGGTTTAAGAATTTGCCCGCGGTAAGGTATGCCTGTCGTAAGAGGCGACTAAGTCCAATAGTTCCTGCGATAGTCGTTTCAAAAAGTACATTGGGAAATATTTTTGTGGCTACAACAACATAAAGGTATATTTAATCGAGAGGTTTTGTGTGATTTACTGTTAAGGTTTTTTTTGCGTGCCTAAATAAGAAATGTATTAAGATAAGTAATCTTTGTACCAGTCTCGCGCATCACCACAAACAAAATCTACAAGCACATATTGGTACATACGCATAAATGTATGTTATATATTTGTACATGCATTTGATATGAACTTGATATCTACAGATATAAAAGCTACTCACTATCACTTGTATCGCCAAATGCGCTGTGTGTTGGTACGTGATGATGATTTCGTGAGTAATGAAGCTCGCGCTCGCCCTCTATGTCTGAGTCTGCAGAAGTATGACGTTTGTAATTAAAATTGGACCCATGTCCAGCATCTCCTGGACTTGAATGTGGTGTGATGTCAATCATTTCGTCGTCGTCGTCGTCAACTCTGAGTGTGGTTGTAGCTGTCAATCCGTTACTTTCCTTTGTTAGTGAAGATGTGGCCAGTGGATGATCCTGAGTACCAGTAATATCCCCAATGACACCTGTATGACCGTTTGACTAGGAAATTTTTTGATATGAGTTATTGATAAACATAAGGAGATGCAACGATATAAACGTTCTACTAGAAAATAAGCTTGCGTTACACAGTTAATGCATTAGAGAACTCATTACTCTGCATTTATTACATTTTGTAATGCTGTATCATTCTTCAGCTAGGGTTTGTATATTTATGAGTATTAGAAAAAGCTTAAATCTTAATTTACTCTCTTAGAAGATCTTATCTGGTTACAGAATTTACCATCCACCAGAATTTACCATCGAGATTTAATGATTTACCAAGATTATTTTTATTGCTGCTATTGGTGGCAGACATATTTAAAGCCCATAAATTGGGTTTGTTTTTATATTATATATATATATATTTTAAATTCTAAGCGAGTGGAAAATGTAGTAATGGAATTACATTTAATTATATTACAATTAAACACTCCCACTAAGTATGCGCTTACAAGCATAAGTACATGTCGAAAACTCACATATACACGGATAACTTTAACAGGAGGCGTACAACTTACCTTTTTCAACACCGATTGATAAGCGGTAATATAACTATTCCCTTCAGCTGCAATCTCCCGGCTACCTTTTAATGGAAATTTTTCCATAACGATTTTAAGCTTTATACACTTTTACTGCAGTTCCACTGAAATCAAAACATCAAAAACTGCTGGTTACATATATAATATATATGTAGATATACACCACAATATACATATCTACCCGGACATTTCAGACTTTTGTATTGATATAAATTTAAAAAGAATAAGCCTGAATAATGTAACATTCGATTTAGATTCTAAGTAGTATTCACTATTCCGTTTACTTTGTTTATGGAAACAAATTTATTTTTATAAATTCTCATCAAATAGAGAGAGCTGTGCAAACAAAGAAAATATCGCCGTCCTGAGTGGCCACTACAAGTATATTTATACTAAGCATTTCATTCCTCTACACATTTTCAAGCAGATTTTGGTTATTTATCTGTATATCAAAATACTATGGATATTCAAGTAAAAGAAGTATAAAAACATACTCATTTTTGCAACTTAAAACACTCTTAAAATCTTTTATGAAATTTGGAAAATTTCTTTACACTCACACACGATCAAGTCGGTCGAAAAAAACTTATGACGTGCTAATACTTGGGGATATCAGAGTTGCTATATCCGCGGAGCAGATTAAATATTTTGTAGCAATAACTATTATATATAAACTACAAAGTTTGTGGAATCAATAAGCGCCCGCGCAAATTGTGAACATAAGTGCTTTATAAAACTAAATCGCTGGAATTGTTGATACGACTGCTTTTTATTCAATTTTGTAGTAAATTATTTAATTGAGTAATAATTAGCACATAAATTATATTTATTTAGCAATCCAGGGTTAGGGATAATTTTATATATTAGTAAATGTGACACTGCACAGAATAACATACCTGACATAGTAGAGTGTCAGCTTTTTCTTAAGGTTAATCATAGTCACCAAAATGTCGTATTATAACGATGTGCGTTAAATACATTTTGTTGATCACAATATTTTTAAATAAAAGTCATCAAATTTGTTAATTGTAAGGAACGCAACTGACCCTTATTTATTACTCAATAAATCACAAATTGCTTTACTATACACGGCTTATTTTACAACTTTCACACTCTACTATTTTACTTTGTAATTGCCTTACGCCAATTATGTTGCTCTTTTATATACCTCCCCTAACGCACGAACTCAGTTGTGAGAATTTCTGGAATTTTCCAAAGATACGAGAACTTTCGACGACCTTACACCACCCCCACAGGCAACATAAGTTCCAGTGCATCAACGGACACCTCGTCGCTGGCTTGTTCCAAATCGCTAGCTTCGGGTTGTATATAGTGGGAACTTCCCGCGCAGTCGATAGCGTAAAAGTTCCCACTATATTTAACCCGAAGCTACTGAGAGTCACAGCGTTAACCACCAGCTCCCGGCAAAAGGCAAGGAAACGGCCAGTCGTAAACTATGCTGATCCGATCTGGACGCCGGGGACTAGCGAAACGCAGATGAAGAAGTTATAAGCCTGTCAAAACACCGTCCGAAAGACCGTGACGAATGGGGGAGCATAATGCTTTGCTGTGCAAACATTTTCAGCTGAGATGCTACCTTACGTGGCACCCCGACATATACTTAGACGCTAGGCATATCAGAAAGGGAGTATCCGACTTAAGCTAGATAGGACGACTTGCCAACAGGCATTAAACGCCTGAACTCTCTTTCAGTGAACGGCGTTCTCGGAGTTCTCAGAGTTCAACCACCACCCATAGCAGGGAGAGGCTATCCAGACTTGACAACAACATACCCGACATACATATGTCCTGAATGCAATGAGTCCGCACGGCATTAACCATTCTTGCATTTAGGATAGAAAACCAACACCAGATGCACTCGTTCTGTCGGCCACCAAATGTTTTCCTGCTGTTTCTGTGGGTATTTTCTTCTTTATGATCGTTCTTGATCAAGAACACCTCACGCCGTTGTAGGAAGAATCATGTCCACAATTTAATGCCACTTTCCTGGTGTTCTCCAAGGCTTTCTCTTTAATCCAAGAGGGCAGCCGCTCAGTCTCCCTAGCTAACTCTTGCATTGGCTCGTTGTCTTTTGGCTAAGACTCTCCAGCTTCAGCTGGTAAACTTACTTCCTGTGCTAACCACAGCAGAGTCTTTCTACGGCTCGTATTAATACGTTACAGGTGTCCATCTCTTAAGTACCTTGAAAGGTATTGAAATCACAAAGGATTGTGTTTTACCCTAGCAGAGTTCATCGAAGTGATTCGACGACTTACTCCTCTTTTTTAAATTGCAGCTTCTCGATTTTGTCCTGACTCTATTTGAGTTTTGCACAGTCTTTGAGCGAATTCTCTTGAAACTGTACAAGCTGAGATGAAAACGAGTTTCTTGGTCTTGCGGTTGTGATGAAATCTACGATGACATCTCCGACATAGGTGCATCCTGTGCCTCTTCTTACTCTAAATCCTTTGTGGATGTCTCTTCGCACTAGCGACGAAAGTCGTATTGTCGCAAGACAATGCTTACCATAGTTTCTCGCAGCCGTTATTGTAGCCCCGCAAAATTTCCGGTTGTAGCCAATCCTCTCTTTAACAAACACCGGTGGAACTCTTGTTTTTGCTTTACAAAAACCCGTGTTGGGAATGGAAAAGTATTGAGTAATGATTGCTACAAAAAGCTTAGGTATAGAGGATATTTTTGCAATACCTCTATAATTTTCAATGCTAGAACATAACCAATCTTATGTACAAGGACTACAAAACACTGCTTCTATGATTTAGGGAAAACACCTTGTTTGAGAGAGTAATTAAAAAGATCAGTTAAAGTCAAATACACAGTTTTTCAGTAATCATGTAGGAATCGTACCTGATACATAACAAGTGATATAATACATTTTCCTAAAAATTAGTTGGTGAATTAATTACTGCAGTTCTATGTAAATAATGCTGACAGACGAACAAACCACTTCGAGAATTAGTTTAATACAACTCATTTGGAAATACTTTGACTGTCAAATGACATAGTAGATTTGCATTTCATGACGGGCGAAGCAAGCCTACGCTTGGAGTTAACAAAATCATAGAACTACTTAGGGTTGTAACCCCATATCACTATATTATATATAATAGTATGCAGCGCGTGTATTGAATGTTCGATATAAAAAACACTCGCTCATCCTCGGAGAGCAAGTTTCAATGCATCAACGGACACCTTGTCGCTGGCTTGTTCTAATCGCCATTGTAGCAACCAAGCCCCACCATCACGCTCATAATCGGAGAGCAAGTTCCCAATGAAAGCTTCAAATATACAGATTCCACCAAATTCGGAAGCAGTGGTTTGGGCTAATATTAATGGAGATTGGGGGCAATAAGTTGTGGGTTGGTAAAGCAAAACAAATTTCTACCCCGGTCGTAATTATAGGAAAAAATGGACTATGATCGATGTCGCTCTAGACTCGATATCAGACACAAAATGGTTATTCACATTTAATCCTAAGCGGGACTATTTACAAATGTATGTAAAGCGGGACTATTGACAAATGTATACAGCCTTTAATTCTGAAGACGGTTTTTGGTAATTCACACTAATGCGCTTTCGGAGCAAATGATAACTGGCGCTGGCCTAAATTACTTAGGACACAAAGTTACAACAAAATGCAGGGGAAGAGATTTAAGCCGTTAAAGATTGGTGCGGACCAAACGATTTGCGTGAACTCAGAAGTTTTTTGAGGTTATGTACATATTCCCATCGGCTCGCTCCAAACTTTAGCAGTATAGCTTACAACTTCCTTTAGCTGATGAGGAAACGGAACAATGAACAGAAGTAAGCTAGAAATCACGAAGACCCTAGATAATATTAATTAAAAGCTCTACTGGATTGGACAATCCTTAACAGATCGAGTTGATAATACTCCTAATCACGATGCACTCACCGACAGGGACTGCATTGGAGTCTTTAGAAGCTGGAGTGTTTGGTCAGCGTAGTCGAATATATAAATTTGCTAAACTAAGTAAATAACATAAAATTGCATAAAATATTCTTTGATGAAGGTTAAGAAATCCGAAATTGGCGCTTAATTACCGCTGAAACAATTTACGGCCTAGCTTTTCCTCCAAATACAAGTGGATGGACTTATAATTTTTAGACCCGACACCGAACAACTGAAAGAGTTTTATAATGAGTAATTTCCGTTGTTAATACGTTCCTTGTTGGACCAGGAAGGGATACGTTCCTTGTTGGACCAGGGAGGGTTCTACTGTCGCTCCCAATGCTCCCTTCAAAGACAACTCAGCTACTCAGCTAAAGTTCTTCTCCTCGATTTCCTTTTGAAGCTCGCTCAGTTCTCAGTTCTTTCCATCAGAGTTGGAGTTGGAGGACTTCTATGTACATTATTGTATAGCATACATACATATGTACAACATGCTTTTCAGTAAGAAGAAAAATTCTCGGCTTTTATTTATTTAATTAATTAATTTTTTTTCTTTAATGCGTCTAATAGACCATCCATATGCAACGCCAATAAAAGTTATTTACATATGTTATATTATATTATATGTACATAATAACATATATATATACATACATATATGGTAGATATGTCATGAGGATGGCAAAGGTATTATACGAATAAATACAAACGTTCGTACATGTGGGTATATAAGCATATTCTAAGTTATACTAACACACGTATGTATTTGTAAATATTCCCAACCACTAAAATAGACAAGTCGTAAAAAACGTTAGATACCGGGAAATAAATAAATGCATAATCAAATGTTTGTGAAATATCTGCGTCGCTGATTTATTTGATCTGGAATTGACACTCGCCCTACTTGCGTATACTGAACTCCTGCCGTGATTTACATGCCCACTTCAGGTATAAAAACGATAGTAAATCTTCACAGTTCATCAGTTGTTTTCTGCAATCCTTGGAGAGCTTTCATATTTCATTGCAACGCACTTAAATAAAAAACATAAAATGGTCAAGCTTTTGTGCATTGCTCTCGCTTTAACTTTGAGCTCGATATTCATTTCATCTCAAGCTCTGCCAACTCCGGATGAGGACCGTTTCATGGAAAAAGAAGTAAGTGCAAAATAATTAATTCGATAAAATTCAAATTAACTGTTGTTTTTATCATCTGTTATAGTACAACCGCGAATTATTAAATTGGCTCAACTCAATGCAGTACCCACAGCCCTATGCCGTGCCTTGCAAATACTATCCAATCAACAGTTTGACAGGACCAGTACCTAAAAGAAATTCCGAATTGATCAATTCACTTCTTAGCCTGCCAAAGAGTATGAACGAGGCTGGAAAGTGAATCACTCGTGCATACATAAGTGTTGTATTTTTTTTTTTGGTTATATAAGAAAATTTGAAAGTGACCCGCAATGATAATGATGATGTATTTCTTGGAATATTCCCACGTGTATATACATAGATATATTATTGTATATTATATGAAAAGAGAGAATAAATGTATTTAAGAATACTCCGCTGTACAAAATACTTAGAAGTTCTGTTCCATTAACAATGATGTATAAATATTATATCTATATAAATATCTTAACTAAATTAAATGAATATAATAATGAATTAATAAATAAAAACTAATTGTAAATTATTCGTTTCCAAAATAATAAAATATTTTTTTTTGCTTCGTCGTTTCCATAAGTAAGAAGCCGGATTAGCAAATTTGGGTAGTTGGAATGAAGTGCTTTACAGTGTATAACGGTTTAATGGAAAAACGTTCAGACTTTCATTTACCTGAAAACCTCGACTGAAAGTGATTATTCAACGGCAGATTAAGCGATAACTATCACTGTTAGCGGTTCATCAAAGGCCTGGTCCGATCAATATTACACCAAGATTTCGAGACAGCTCGAGCTTTTCATCCGCATTAGGCGATTGTTGGATTTCTATAAAACCATTCAGGCTATGAGAGTGAGAGTAAATTGACTTTCTGCAAATATCGTACAAGAACTGTCTATAACTTGTCCCATCCATTGGTTCTGTTAGGTATTATAAATTGTAAACGAATTGTCTCAAATTAAATATTTGTTGGAGAAAAATTCTTTTTTTAAAGAATCTGGTTTTACTTTTCTATGAGTTACAGTATGACATTTTTTTATAACAATGAGTCAAAGGCATTTCCAATGCACAACAAAAATTGTAATATATAATAATTGCCGCTTCGCAACCGCTGAAGCGATTTTTGGCTGATCTCTACAAAGCCGCCTCCGAACGGGAGATGGTGTTTTATGAAGAGCCTTTATTTCATATCAGAAATACACTCGAAGGGGTTGACGTTCCCTGTCGAGGGGCAACCGCAATTAGAAAAGTTAACTTAACTTTTTATTTAAATTAATTTTCTATAACTTCTGGACGTTGGTCGTACCAGGTTTTCAACCATACGAGGCAAGTACAGAGACCTCTCACCAAATGCTGCAGCTCTGTTTACAGAGCATATTCGAGATTATGACTTTCTCACCACTAGTCGACGGGCTTCTGAAAGTCATATGGCTAATAGTGGTCCCCTCGCTGGATACCACAAACAACCTCCAGAAAGCCAGTGTGCATCTACTAAATAAGCGCGAAAATGAAAAAAGCAGGTTGACTTATATAGACGAAGTCACAGAAAAGGATGTGCCCTCAAAAGGACATCTAAGAGATGATGGCCGAAGTTGTCACCATACAAGCAGCACTGAATGCGAACGAAGCCGACCGGACGTACTTAAACACGGCGAGGATAGAAGCAGACAGCAGGCGATCATCCACGGAGCGATTAACTATCAGTATTGATGACCTTATACCTACACTGATAAGAACATCGCCTACCGAACGGCATCTACTCGAAGACGAGAACGACGAAAACTGCTTCAAAACTGAAAGCACTAAGGCTATGCCAAGGGCACAGCAATGCGGAAGATATAAAAGCTGTCATTCTAAGGACTTCCCCAAATAAATGTAGCTGGAGCAACTGACCGACATCCAAGACGCCATAATGAATGAGATAGTAAAGGGCTGGAAGAAACCGCTAACCTTCACAGGAGTAACGGTCAGATCAGGACTACTGCTGTCTGTAAAGATATCAGCACGTCAAAATGGTAAAATGGTAGGTGAAAATATACCCTTAACCCACAAAATATATACCCATCTACCTCAAAGTGCGGAAAGGGGCCAAACATGCGAAAAACGAAAGTCTTCACACCTCCCACTGATGAATCGCTTAATAACATGTTGAGGAACAGCTTTACACTCAAGTTCAGGCTCGGAAACATACCTACCAAACCATGGAGATCGTAGGCTTAAGTAGCAAAAACCCAATCAGATCCAGCAGAGGTTGAGGGAGTAGTAAAAGGGGCTGAAGCCCAATACAACATACCGAAAGGTAACGGTCAGACAACAAGCGCAGCAACAGACGAAGATTTGCCCAGCTTAAACCAAACCATGCTGTTGCCGCCTCGGCGGTAATAACGCACAAAATATATATATGATATATTTTTCTTGCTTGCTAATTTTTACTAGTCGAAAATTTCACAGTACGAATTTGCAACTTTCGTACCAAACTATAGATCAAAATTGCTTTCTCTCGTTGCAAATTTTACTGGCTTTGACTTTTGAACGCCGCAAAGAAAATTCCCATGTGAGTGCTGACGCCATGTCTAGTCGGCCGTGTAGTTTGAAATAGAAGCACTGCAAAAAAGCTGAAGGGAAAGAAGACATAATAGATGATCGTCTAAAAACAATTTCACCTACGGAAATTTTAACAGGAAAATCCAGATTGGAGCACATTTCAACAGAAAGACCAGTTTAAAGTTGGCATCTTTCCGTCTTCAGTGCATGGGAAACTGAAAACGGTCAGTACTCCTTGAATATAATGTGGTTCCGAAGTTGAGAGTTCCAGAAGTTCTCAACTTATTCCACAATGGTCCCAATAGAGGGCAAAATGGAGAAGATCAAAGCGGTTCTATGGGTTTTTCTGCCGTCAATCGGTCGCAGAATATATTGCAAACTGCTATAAATATATTTGCAGCTGATGGGACCAAGAAGTTATGAATAGATAAAGCAATATAACGCAGGTTTCCATACAAACGAGTTGCTATGCTATAGCTAGCACATTCCTTATGAACGAGCTAGGAAACAAGTACGTTCTCCAGTTATGGACAATTCTAAAAAATGAAGTTAAAACAGAAGCAAAAAAAGTTTTACTTTTTAATATTCTTATAAAGCCATCTTGGACGTACGGGATCCAAATTTGGGGATCAGCGTATAAATCTAGCCTAGATAGAATGCAGAGATTGCCGTCTAAAACCTTAAGATCAATATTCAAAGCCCCTTGGTATGTAAAAAACTCCACAATTTGCAATGATCTCGGGATTAAAACCGTCAGAGAAACTGCTTAAAAATTACTCACTAAGGTTATATAACCACCTAAACTTTCCAGCTAAAGAATTATTACAGCAGAAGTACCCTAAGCGATTAAAGAGAAAGGATTTACGTTTGAACTATGACTAAGGGCTCTGCCGCATCCAATTATTCTACAATACATCGGAGTGGCGCTCCGCATATATCCTTCATGATATTATATTTTACTTCAAATTATCCTTTATGATATATCGTTTGCTAAATTTTAAGCATCAGTACAACATTATACGAAAATTATAAAAAAAACAGCAGGGGAAGTGTTAACCTGTAATTGGATTACTAGATACGGGAAGATCGCTCGTACGGTTCCAATATTGAGATTCATTGTTGCTATACAATCCATTTCGGAAGAAAAGTTTGTCTCCGAGACTTTAATGCAATTGGGAAAGTACCTATAAGGTAATCAAATGACTAAGCGACGAATCAAATCCGTTGGGAGGCTAAGAAACAAAATGGAAGTGGTCCACCTCGAGAGGCTTGTATCGGTTGAGACAGCAATATATGTCTAATCGGGATGATCAAACTGAGGTAGTGGGCAGAGTGGCAAAACTGCCAAATGCGAATGAAAGATGAACGAGAAATAATTTTCCAGACGCTTGAGCCAATGAGTAAATTTCAGGTATATAAGAGCAGCGGTCAATAATACAGTAGTCAGCTACAAAGAGAGCTTCTTAGTGATGACACTGTTTTCAAGTGAAATAATATATTGTGAGAGTTTTAAGACGAGCCGTTGGGTGTGGTGGAGCAAATTTTTATTTATTGAGTAATAAACGAAATTGGATTAAATTCTTTTATTTTACAATCCAGTGATAGAACTCGAAAGATTTGGGAAATCATTGAGGCTAATTTAGCAAATTCGTTATAATATAATGTGTTGATTTTATCTCTTATAATTTGACCTTAATAAGACGATTTCGCCTGTTATGAGGTTTAGGGGCCTGAAAACTCCGTTTTACGTGTATTATTTGGAGTTATGTCCTAAATTTACTGTTCTTTTTTAATAACAAACAATGAAGATAATCAATTATATTACACTAATTTCATAAATTATATTTAAATTTGAACTAATTAATCAAAATATTAGAAAGAATTCACATTTCAAACAAAAGTCGACTACACATTCATTATATTTGTATGTATTGTCTCATATGCCTTCAACTGCGATCTCTAATTTTGTGCACTGCCTTGACATTTAATTTGTTTATATTAAACACATTTGTCGTATTGAGATGTTCAGTGATTTGTCTACGTTGATTTTTTTTAAGGAAAAAGACTGAAAAATTGAAAATTAGCTCATCATTGTAGCCATGGCAGGGTTTGTGGCAGTGCACACTGGTAAAAGATGCTTCAGGATTATTTTAGAGCAAAGTAATAATCTTAACGTCTATTATTATATGTTTAGGAGCTGGCAACTGCATTGATGAGACAAAATATCAGCGTGTTATTAAAGAAGCCTGTGTTCGAGCAACGGATATAATAAAGAACGGTGGTTCTGCAATGGACGCATGTGAAGCGGCCATAATGCGCCTCGAAAATTGCGGGAATACCAACGCCGGTTTTGGTTCTAATCTTTGTTGGGATGGGCGTGTGCAATGTGATGCATCTATAATGGATGGTTCAAATTTACATTTTGGCGCCTGTACAAATGTAAGTACTGTTCGTAATCCCATACGTTTCGCTCGTCTACTGTGTGACGGACAATCCACTATGCTATCGATGGAACGTATACCACCAATGGTTATGGCAGGAAGCGGGGCGGAGCGATATGCTGAAGAATTGGGTTGTGCAATGATAGATGCCAGTGCTATGATTTCATCCAAGGCAAAGTTTTCATATAACCATTATAAATCAAAAATAGCGACTATAAGCTCTGCAGCAGAAGGTGGCAATGGCACAAGTATCGGGATGTCTACAACGGCTGCTGTCTCCACATCTCAGGTTAGTGCTCTTGACACCGTCGGTGCTGTATGTGTAGATAGTGCCGGCAACACTGCTGCTGGATGTAGCTCAGGCGGCTTATTGCTTAAAGTACCTGGACGTATAGGTCAGGCAGCGACTTATGGTGCAGGTTGTTGGGCAACTGATTCTACGGAAGTATCCGTTGCAACATGTACGACCGGGAATGGTGAATATTTAATGAAAACATTATTAGCAAAAGAAATATGTGGTGATCTATTGACAACCGATTGTGCCGTTACAAGCTTACATAAGAGTATAAAGAATAAATTCTTGGAATCTCCATTCCTACCCGCCGATCAAGATTTATATGCTGGAGCACTGTCCCTAATTTACTATCCCCACGCAAATACGGGAGAAGTACTATGGAGCCACACCACAAAATCATTTTGTGTTGGCTATATGTCTACGCAACAAAAAGCGCCGAAGGTCAGTGCCTTTTAAAATGTACAAACTTTTATGTGCTTGTATGTAGGGTTGTTGTGAAAATTAATTGTTCTTTATTTTTCCTTGCAGTTTATATATTCTCCACTGCCAACGTACAGTATGCCGGGCAGATCGTGTGTGGTCAATGGGCACAATTTCCATCTACGTGTCTAGTCTTCGCACACAGCTGCCATTGGCGGCATTAATGATGACAGCATTTATCGTGAGTGCTGGCACTACATGCTTATATATATTTGACATTCTTTATTTTCGTATTTTATTGGATATACTACAGTGCTATAAAATAAGTGCATAACATACTATATTTATCGTTGATGCAAAGTAGAAAGGGGGTTTCCTCGTTCCATCAAAGATATGTACGGTTTTTAAAATAAGAAAAAAAGCACAATTGTGATTTGACAATTTCCATTTAAAAATCATTTTTATTCATAATATGTATTTTGTTGTGTGTGTAAATTTTGCACTAAATTAAAAAGGCGATTACAAAAAGTAAATATAATACCTATAAAAATATAGTATGTATGTATAGAGGTCATTCATAATATAAAGTATATATTATGTATGCTTATAGGATATAGCCATATTAAAAAATTATTATTTTTTATTTGATCGTGAGCAATTTTGCTATTAATTTACCAAAGCGAAGAATGACCAAAGCAGCATTGGTCCTATTAATGTAAGATAATTACAATTTTGAAATTATCATTTATATGTACGTATGTATATGTATAATACTCACAATTAAGTAAGGCAAATATGGTATTTTGAAAGTTATATATATATATATATATATATTAGATGTAATGCTATTTTCCTATAAACTAGAAAATATGAGCATTTATAGTTATGGAATTTATATTTTTTTATATTTATATTTTATTCATGAAGTATTTACTTAAAGCATACAATAAACTTTAACATACTTCTTAGGTATGTAATTCCTTCGTTGTAGTGTACTTTTGGAATAACTTTAATTTAAAGATAAGTTTGAGTTGCTTAATGAATTCCATTATAATTTTTCTATAAACATGTTTGTGCGCTTTAATAATAACTTTTAACTTATAAATATAAATAAATATCATAAAATAATGACAATCATTGTAGTTTATATCTTATGTTTTCGGTTTGTGCTAAATTATTCATCATTATAATATTTTATAAAACAAAAAAAAATTTATATATATATATATATATATATATATATAAATATATATATATATATATATATATATATAAATATATATATATATATATATTAAAAGGCGTAAAATTTTTGAGTGAGTAAAATTCAATAAAATAAATTGGTAGTATTCGATGGATGGTCACAATGATTACTTGAAATAAGGATCAATGCATTTTTTTTTTATTAAATTCGATATATAGCCCTTCGTTAATACTTTCGCGTAAATAAATGCAGTGATGTTTGGAAAGAAAAATATCATTTAAAAAGTGAAGCTTCAAAAATTACAGCTGCCAACAATTTTTACTTTAAAAAGTCCTTCAGGTTTTTTATGGAAGAACTGAATAATTTTCTATTTCTATAAAAATCTATTTTTTGTTTTTACTTAAATACTAGTAGTATGATCTTGATCTTACATATATACTCGTTTCATATCGAATACACAACGATACAGAAAAGAATTGGAAGCTTACATAAATAATTTTTATAACTTAATACTTTTATCCGCATACCCATACAATACAATATTCGATTACATACATTTAAGTCTAGCCACAACTGCATATGTTTATATTTTTACTCTTATTGTCTATACGCATCCATACTCATACCATATACTATTGCTTTTATCATCAGTGCGTTTTCGCAATTTGTCATCAGGCGTAGCACCAATCGTTGTTGAGCTACTATTGTTAGGTGTTAGCGTGGAATCACGTGATGTACCCGCGGACACGTTGTTTTCAGCACTGGTACTACCACCAATTGTCGTATTAATACGATTGTACATAAGGAATGTAGTTGGATTATCTGCTTGAGGAATTGGTGTCAGATTTGTAGGTGTCTGAGGTTCGGCAGCACTCGCCCCACTACCCTCTAAGTAGGTGTCACCCGGCAAGTTGGTAGACGTCGAGTAGGCACTTGTATTTAGTGGGGAATTGGAAGTTGACAAATGACTGCTCACTCCAATATCGTTGCTACTGCTATTTGATTCGGGTATCTTTTGATGTTCGTCGATTAAATACACAGTACGCCGAGACCCGGCTGTACCCAGTGTCAAACTACTGCCAGTCACATCTGGCGCCTCAAGACTATTCAAAAAATAAGAAATCACACGTTTTAGTATAACTTTGTAGGCACACTAATTAACATATATGTGGTATCATTGAAAAGAAGCGTTACAGGTGTAAAGAAAAAGGAATTTTTTACAAGTTCATGTATGAAATTTGGCATGTAATTTATTTAGTAAATGAAAAGCAAAACTTTTTATTTTTTCAATGTGCCAAAGAAGATGCAATAAATCATTTTGGCACAGCAAAAGGCTTTTATTAGGAATTATGTGTTCGAGTGCACAGAATGCGAGACGATAATGTTTTGGATGTTGTATGTAGATGTAAACGATTATTTTAAGTTTTGCATTTGTAAATATGAAGAGAAAAATATAAACAATTATTTGGCAAAAGTTTTAAAATTTTGCCACCCAACTAACGTCACACACTGTAGAGAATATCAAAAATCTTACACACTAATTACCAAAACAAATTGCCTCAAATAGTGAGCGTGGGCGTCCGTCAGTGAAAATGAAAGACAGCAACAGATGCGCAGTTTATACATATACACCAATCTTTAAAGCGTTTGCAAGGTTAAGGTTTGAAATAATATTGTATATATACATATTTAGGAAAATAATTGTGTTTAATTGCATGTATCAATGATATGGAACTTTTACTAGGCCATCTTTGGCAGTAGTTAAGGAAATCCAGCGCTATATGTATTACTGGCCGATTTCGAGAAATCATTTATCCAAAATTCCAGAGCACGAGTATATCAAATTTGGTTCAGTTGTCCAAGAAAACGACTAACTTGAGGGTCAAACCGCTCAATTCAAATCATCCAGTAATACTGGTCTATGTCTTCTTCAAGTAGAAACATACTTTGAAATTAGTACCAATTATCTTCAAGATATAAAAATCAATAATAAAAAATCCAAAGCAGCTAATCAGGCGGTGCACATAATTTGTTATTTTCTTTTCGCTAATCCTAAACAAAGGTAAACAAAATATTAATGCACAACAATAAATGAAAAAGCGAATGATGTTAGCCAACATGTACAAACAGTACACAAATAAATTTCGATAGTTTTTTACGAAATATTTACCGAAAATTCGCTGCCACACTTTTATCTTGTTCCTATACCCACAACCACCCATCCAATTCAAAAGCAACCCATAGTTATGCCAGTTTTCCAATGACATAAAGAAATATTTGAAAGTAATAGTAATGTTGGGATTTGGACAGGAATAAAAAATACAATGTAATTGCAAAAATGAACAAACAAAAAAAGAAAGCGCTCAATTCGGATAGAACCGAACATTACATACCCGGCTGTTTCGGTTGCTGCAAGTTAATGTAAATGATTTTTCGCAAATTTCAGATTTTCTTGCAGACAGCACACGTTCATTCATGTCTCAAGTATTCAATTTTATTTCATAGATACGTGGGTGTTATTTTGACATTATTTGAGAATTGCAAAATTGTCGAATTGCTTTACTAGATACTTAAATATCGCGACTTTTTTGCTCTGAAATTTACCATTGCTACAGTGATAGCGCCGTCATATTTTGACCAGCTTCAAATGATTCTAAACTAAGATTACTTTTTAAAAGTAGAAACTGCTATGAAGCCATTAGAAAAAAATTGAATTTTTCTGTATTGGATGGTTGCCAAAAAATATAGTTTATCTTCCTCTTTCACTTATGATTTTCCCTGAAAATATATTCATGTTGCAATATAAGAATTTTGTAGCTGAGAAGCTCGAGCCATATTCTTTATACAATATTTTCCTATTTACTTTCCTCAATTTTCAGGTCATAAAATTATTTACGCAGTTTTAAGGTCGTAGATACATTAAGATGCTCGAATTTTCACGTGCTATTAGTGTCACGTATAAACAGATGGACAAATAGTCATGGGTAAAGCAATTCGTCAAGTCATTTTACATTTTTAAAAGAAATTTTATATACTTCTGCACACAGTGCAGCCGAGTATAAAGATACGTGTGTAATTTATACAAACAAAAAACATGTTATGTTTACCCGTGCACGCTATTTCTACGAGAACTATTCAAATCCGTGCGTTTTTGCGCTTGTAAACTACTCCGCACACCGCCACGTGAAAGTGTGTTATCCATTAGGTCGCTAAATGGTAAAAAAAAAAAAAATTATAATAAATCAAACAGACGAAATGCACATACATGTGCACGTACATATTAAGGTACACATAAATATACCGTATTTTTTATTACACAAATTAGTAAAATTGAAAAGAATGAAATATGCTGGAATTTATTATCTAAAACCACTTACCGCTGCAAACTCTGGCGCATAGGCAAGTTACGTTGGAGCAAGTGTGTATCCGAAGCAATGGAAATTGGTGCCTCTGTACTGTTGTCAGAATCGTTACCATCAGAACCAATTGTGAATTGCGACTGCGTGAGACGAGACTCATCGATCCAAGAACGTCGATTCTGTTCCATAAACATATTTTATTACAATAGTTAAATTTTATCATAGTTAAAAGAATTGCACAACACTTACCCTGCTTGTTGGCACTTTATTTATAAAGTCGGATCCCGCTTTCTTTACACGCCGCACAATGCTACTCGCAAAAGGTTTCCTGAAAAAAAATAGAAATATTTCATAAATTATTCCTAAATAATTATGATATCTATATTAACATACTTTTTTGGTATGATAACTTCTGGCTTCTTATAATGCTCCATTATTTTTTCTTCTAACTTTTCTTTCTGACGGCTCAGGTTATGTAAACGTTCCGTGTAGCTTTTCTCTTCTTCTCGAAAATGTTGTTTATCCTCTAGAGAATGAGAGAGTAGTTCGTGATACTGCGATAGTAGCTGTGAAACATTTTCCATCAGAGTTTTACGGTCTATATCTAAATGTACATTGGTTTGCAGCAAAATCTAAAAAATTAACGGTTATACAAATGTAGTAAATATAAATTTTTTTATTGAACTCACTTCACATTGTTGTGCATAGTATGTGGTATCAGTTTCTATGGCTCTGACAAGATCTGACCTGGAATCCACCTCACGCATTAGTTCGGCATTTTGTCTCTTTAGTTTACTGTTATCAGCACGCATCATTTTATACTGTTCCTGTAAAAGCAAGGGGCAAGAGTTATATGTTTTAATGTCATATAATTTATCAATGATAAGTAGATAATATGTAATATAATTAGTGTAAATAAAAATCATGTAGTTTTTATATCAATGCAATACAAATAAATTTTTCAATGCAAGAAAATATAGTTTAATAATGCGTAATAGTCAATGCCTAACTTTCCGCAAATACTAACTACTAAAAATGTTTTTCTTCAATTTTCGTTTTTCAAATTTATATCAGAATTATATTTCATCAAGTTTTTACTTGAAAAAAAGTTAAGTAGTATAGAAAATTATGGCGTAGCTACTTATTTGGAGACTATAATTGTTCAAATAATTATTTTCATACAATTGCGATTACCTGTATATTCTTATACTCGTTTTTAAAACGGAACAAATTTCGAAAATCGTCAGTCAGTTTGGAGTGCTCAGTGCGTAATATGCTTAGGTCAGCTGAACATCTTTTCAAAGCCTCATTCTCCTTTGCTAACACCTCAATTTTTTCTTCGTATTTCGTTATGTTTCCACGTAAATCACGACTTTCGTTCCGACATTCGCGGAGCATCATTCTTATTTGTTCCTTGTTATTTGCAATTGATTCGTATTCGGTTGAAAGCTGATCATGCAAAGCTTTCAATGCCAATAGATCATGTTGCAGATTTATATTTTCTTGTTTTATAGATTCAAATTGCTTTATCAATTGATCTTTGTCAGAAGCAAGTTGCGAATTTGCCACTTGTAAGGCGATCAGCTGCGTATTAAGTGAAGTTATCTGGGATCCCAATGCTACCATGTCTACGTCAAATTTCACTCTCTCGGCTTCCAATCGCATATTAGCAGATTGTAGTACCGCATAACGTGTGTTCAAATCAGCATTGGCTTTCTGAAGACGCACCATTTCAGTGTCATCGAGACTGTTTTGTGGATTTAAAGTAATTATATGCTCAAAACTTAGCTCTTGTGGCTCATTATTGGAAGAGATTTCTATATTTTTTTCCACGGTGTAGATTTCTTTACGATGACATAGTACACACATATTGGACTTAGAATTTTGACATTGTTCCTTCGAGACGTTCAACATAATTTCCCGCACTGTTTTGAAGGTTTCGGGATTGCGAACTAACTTTTCAACAACGGTTTCAACATTCAGTTCGTCATTACCATCATCTTGGTCGCTCCCACCCAATCCCAGCTTTTCTAAATTTTGTCTCACTTTACTTACTTTATTGGTGGCTAAAGTTCCAGAGACTATATCATTGCGCAGTGCTGCTATTGTCTCTAAATCAATATCACGTTGTGATAACAAATTTTGATTTTGAATTTCCAGTTCTGCGACTCTTTGCTGAAGTGGCCCAACATCTATCAGTTCTTGTGAGAGTAATTCAAGCTCTTTGGTTTGCGCCTCGAACTTTTCTGTACACTCATCTAATTGAACCGACTTCTCTTCGGAGTCTTGCTTCAACTTTAAAATATCTTTTAAAAGACCAGAATTTTCTCGTTCCCTTGTGCTTAGTCTAGCTTCTAAATCAAAAACTTGTTCTTTGACCTTACTAACTTCCTGAGAGCGTTCCTTCAGCTGCTCAATTTCCTTGGCGCGCATTTCTAGTAAACGGGCCAAGTCATCAGCGCGACGTTGTATACTTTCATTTAGGGTTTGTAAATTTTGTTTTTCTTTGTTTAATGATTCAACATGTTGCTCCAGGTCCTTAAATTTTGTGCGTTCGAATTCATGCTCTTGACTTTGATGTTCGTATGACTTTTGCCGATCATCCATGGTGTCTTGCAGCTTTTTATTTTCTTCTAATGCGCTTTTGAATATATTTTCTAAATCTGTGTTCTGTTGGGTTAAACGTTGGATATTCTCTTCTAGCTGGTCAACTTTCAGGGATAGTTTCTTCTTATCCTTCTCAAGTTCTAGTATTTTGTTTGCGGACTCATGGAAAGATTCCTCCTTTATCTTCTCTAGTGCAGCTGTCAGTTGCTTATTTTTCAATTCTAGTTTTATAATTCGAGTCTGTTGGAAAAAGTATGTTTATGAGCATATGTTAAGAATTTGAAAATATATTAACCAAAATATTTGCGATATTTTTTTCCCCCCTCACCTGTGAATCATTTGTAAGTTGTTCTGACAAACTATTATCACCCGAGTTAACATCATCTTCCGAGAAAGCACTATCAATCTTGTGTGAAGTATTAAGATTTTTATTAGCTAATTGTAGTTGAGTATTCTCCTCCAACAATTCTTCTAATTTTGAACGTTCCGCATTTCTTTCTAAAGACATGTCGTTAATCTTTTGTTTATACTTAATAATCTCCGACTCCAAAGTCATTACATGTTCAGATCGCTTTCTTGCTCTTTGAAGCTGTTCTTCAAGCATTTCTCTGAATAAAAGAACAAAACAATAAAATTTCATTTCAATTCTTCATAAATAAGATTTTCATACTTTGTTTCCAATAACATGCGATTATCTTCACGTAATTCTTCGACTCGCGTTTTGTAGAATTCGGCGTCAGCAAGTTTTTCCTTCAACTTTTGGATTTCTATTTCTAAATAATCGGCGCGCTCCGCCCGCTCTCTCAAGACATCCAATTCATCACGGTAGACTAATGCGCGTTTCGCTTCGGCATACCATTCCTGACTCTGCAAATATATTTAAAATTGTAATAACAGATTTTTCCTTTTTTATTGTCCTCATACTTCTGTACGTAAGTTATCATAAATAGCCTTTTTATGTTGTGCCTCATCCCTCAATTCAAGAATGGCTTCAGTTTTTTCCTCTCTGTTCACACATTAAATTGAAATATTAATTAAATTATAAAAATAAGGAATACTTCAAATTTTAATTGGTTCTTCCGTTTATCTTACAATTCTTGTCGTAGTCTGCGAAGTTTCGATTTTAAATCCGCTATTTCCACAGCCTTGTTATTATCGGAAAGGCAAGAGGAGCTCATGGCACTGGATAGTGGCGATGATGGTATATTTAATGTGTCATCCCCACATGCGCTCATATTTAAATCAGACTCGGTGTACATTGTAGAAATCCAACGAAGATAAATGGCGTCCCGGTCTTTTGATAATCGCAGTATATGATTGTACATGTTTATAGGGGTGAGCAAATTCACAGATTCTTTTGTAAGAACTAGACTTTGTTCCTCCGTAACCTTGAGAAAGAGAATTTATTTAATACACTTACTTAAATGCGTATGCATTTCTTCTTACTTGCTTAATAAGTCCAACAATAGCATGCTGAGTTTCAACGTCCAACATTTTTATACGACCAATAAATATTTCTCGATTAGGACACTGCACGGCAGCTCCAAGCAATAATGTTAGCAAAGTCCTCATTTGTTCCAAACCTTGTTTGGATTCCGGATGGTAGCCCAATATGTATACATCTGGTAAAACTAGAATAGTGTGTTCGAGCTCTTCCTCAAATAGAGATTTAATGTTTCTAGCGATGCATTCAAAATTCTTTGAACGGGCCATGCACAGGGAAACACCCACTAAATCTCCAATATCTGTTAGGTGGTTTTGAGGTTCAGGATCAATTTGCAGCCAAACACTATGTATGATATTTCCATCTAGCAGAGAAGTATAGCCAGTAAGAACTTCTGGACGTGGTAGACAGGACTCAAGCTATAAAACAATAAAAATATATATCAAATTTTACACGCACAGTAACATATGCATATTATAAGGGCAGTTGTTGTGATGCCATGAAATTAAATACAAAAATTAATTCGAATTCAATATGAGCGTACATGCTGACTATAAAATTGTATACCATATGTAGTCGGATTGAAACCTTGTCAACTTCCAAAAATGGAAAATTCACTAATTTATGATGTAAAGCATTACTAACTTTTGCAGACGCGTGAGCCAGACGCACAACTATAAAGTTTACTATTTCATCTTTTGAGAAGATATCAAGAATTTGCCCAAACAATATAAAAAATTGGATATCCTATATATTTTAGTGTTGACTTTACATCCACGATGTTTGAAAAGTTTTTGATCTTTTGAAGATCGATTTCAAAAACTAACACAGTCTGCTCTATGAAAACTTTATTAGATAAAACCTATAGATAACAGAAATTTAAGACGAAAATGTATAATACATTACACATTTCCCTAAACTCACCCAAGAAACTAGTGCACCATTAATGAATTCGTCAATTTCCATCGGAGTCGCTGCCACCGCATTAGCCATTTTGAAGCTTCGTGCAAAAAATTCACAGTTCAGTATCGACGAAAATCGTAATTATTAAAAGAGTTTGATTTCCACGATATCGTATTCATCCGACGATTGAATGGTATTATGTATAACCAGCAGATTATTTATATATGTGAACCAAAAATTTGTATTGTTTTTCCTTTGACAAACTTTAAACTTTCATCCATGCATCTTGATATCAATCTAATTGTTGCAATAAAATATTTCCCTATTTATGTGAAACTATTCACATCGAACATCAACTAAAACAATACTGATGATTTCTATTCTCACAGAGATGGTAGCTAGTATCCTGAAGCGAAATACGAAAAGAAAATGAAAATGAATTCCTTTCCTATGGTTAAACATACAAGAAAAACGCAAGCACGCTTAGAGTTGCCACAGTAGTAAAATAGATATAAGGTGGCAGGCACATCGGCCGAAAACCTAACATAATCCCGAATCTACACTTTTCGCTTTATATATATTTCCGAAACTCACCTTGTGTATCGAAGCTGGAAAATTTTTGCTGCCAGCAAATGTGCATAAAAAACTTCATCGAAAGTTCTATAGACATTGGAGACGATCAAATATTTCTATCAAGCATTGCATAAATGTGTGTCAGGCTCGCTCGTGTGTTGCTAACAATTTTTACTGAATATAACTGAAACGCGTGATCAAAAAATCCAGCAAAATTAGTAAGAAACTGAAAAATGCATGCTTTGAAAATATCAGTCAGTACAAACTAGTATATAATCATAAATAATAAGGGATCAGGAAATAGAACCTGTGTTACTTTCCAATGACTATCAAGAGTGGGAGGTTAGAGTCCAAATGAAGAAATGACACCATGTTTTTGAAAGGATTCTATCCCATCAGAGTAGATTTGATACTTCGGCTTTCAAATTACTGAGCCGTACTCTAGAATAGGCCTTACTAATATTGTATCCGAAACTTTAGTAACGAGAAATGTTTTTGAATTCCTTGGATCACCGTTTTACAAACGCCAAACTGTCTTTGGTTCTGTTGGCTGTCACAATAATATGAAGCGAGAAATTAAGTTTATGGTCCACATTGAAGCTATTTAAAATTAGAGCTATCAATTGTTTATGTAAGTATATGCCCGTATAGCACCACTCAACTATGCATCATCCTTTTCAGATTTTTCAAATGATTCATTAATAAATTTTAATGATTACGTGTTTTAATCTGTCTGAAGTTTTAGCAATTATGAGTTTTTTTTTTGTATTTCCTTCACGCCCTAAAACTTATGCCCATTTCCAACTCTTATGTACTTCACTTCTGATTTTATGGAAAGAAGGGCTCGTGTATTTTGCCAATTCGTCTGCAATTACGTTCGTATTCGAATGCGCGTGTATCGAGTCTTCGTCATCGAGAAATTTAAAGCAGAATAATCTAGAAGATTCATGCAAGCAGTCTTCAGCGGTTGCAGAGCTTCCGATTGAAGATTATTGGGGTCCAGGACTTTCAGTGCCTTTCCAATTCCTTGAATGGTATATACTAAAGTAAAATACTTGACATAGGAATTAATCGTTGAACGTAGCAGATGAAATAAAAACTATCGATCTATGCTGGAAATAAATATTTATCAGTTTCAAGCTGTATCGATATTTTTATGTTATTATATTATTTTTCTCTAATCTAGGCCAAAATACCGGCGTTTAAGTGTATTTTTTACATATAGGAAAATAAACAAAATGCGCTTGGTAGGAATACATATTAATTTATATAATTTGTATATTCTTTTGATATCTTTCATTTATATAGTACTGCCTTAGTAATGACTTAGCGAAGCACTGTTATGTTATTACATTCAAAGGCCTGCGTATTATGCTGGATTGTGGTCTTACTGAGCAGACAGTACTAAATTTTTTGCCACTACCTTTTGTGCAAAGTGTAAAATTATCAAACCTGCCAAATTGGATACCAAATCGTGATCATGATCCTCAAATGGATGGCGAACTTAAAGAATGCTGTGGTCGGGTGTTTGTTGACTCTGCACCTGAGTTCACATTGCCAATGGATAAAATGGTGGACTTTAGTGAAATTGACGTGATTTTAATTTCAAACTATCTAAATATGCTGGCACTTCCGTATATCACAGAGCACACCGGGTTCAAAGGAAAAGTGTATGCAACAGAACCAACATTGCAGATTGGCCGTTTCTTTCTCGAAGAACTTGTTGAGTACATTGAAGTTGCCCCCAAGGCAAGCACAGCAGCCTTGTGGAAAGATGTCCTTCATTTATTACCTAGTCCATTAAACGAAGCCTTTCGCCCTAAAAAATGGAAAACTATATTTGGCTTAAAAGATGTCCATAACAGTTTAGCACGTGTAACTATAATGGGATACGATGAAAAACTGGTAACTTATTTATGATAGCACCTGCCGTCCAACCTTCTATTTAATTAAATATATATTTCAGGATATCTTGGGCGCTTTTGTTGCAACACCAGTCAGTTCAGGATATTGTCTAGGGTCAAGTAATTGGGTTTTAAGTACCGCTCATGAAAAAATTTGTTACGTTAGCGGATCATCAACATTGACCACGCATCCACGCCCAATTAATCAATCTGCACTTAAACACGCAGATGTATTAATAATGACGGGTCTGACTCAGGCTCCTACAGTTAATCCAGACACAAAATTGGGAGAATTGTGCATGAATGTTGGTAAGATGGAGATATCCTAAAGCAAACATATATGCCCGCATATCAACCAAAACGAATTCTATCTTGATTTATTAAAATTTTTACCGATTTTTTATGTCTTAAACAATGCTATTCAGCTCTGACAATACGTAATAACGGCTCTGCATTGATACCTTGTTATCCATCCGGTGTGGTGTATGACCTTTTCGAATGCCTTACACAAAATTTGGAAAATGCTGGATTGAATAACGTCCCGATGTTCTTTATCTCACCAGTAGCTGACAGCTCGTTAGCGTACTCAAATATTTTGGCCGAATGGTTAAGCTCGGCAAAGCAAAACAAGGTCTACCTGCCCGATGATCCCTTTCCACATGCGTTTTATTTACGAAATTCGAAATTAAAACACTACAAGCACGTATTTTCCGAAGGATTCAGCAAAGACTTTCGACAGGTTTTGTAAAAATAAATTATGTTTTTAATAATTATAGGCATAATCTTTTCAAACTTTTGCGAAATTCGTTTCCAATTTGTGTGCATCATAACTAATACATGAATGGTTTTCCTTACGAATTTAGTACTTAAATATTTATTTTATATATTATATATTTATATATGTGTACATATTTTATTACTTTCAATTTTTCTCGTTTAGCCTTGTGTAGTATTTTGTGGTCATCCAAGCCTGCGATTTGGTGATGCGGTACATTTTATAGAAATGTGGGGTAATAATGTAAATAATTCCATCATATTTACAGGTAAATTAAAAATACCGTTTGTCAAATATTTAGTTGCTATTAATAAAATTTTTGTACTAGAACCTGATTTTCCTTACCTGCAAGTGTTGGCACCTTTTCAACCTCTTGCTATGAAAGCATTCTACTGTCCGATAGATACATCACTTAATTATCAGCAGGCTAATAAATTAATAAAGGAACTGAAGCCAAATGTTTTAGTGATACCAGAAGCTTACACGAAACCACACCCTAATGCTCCAAATCTATTTATAGAACAACCGGTAAGATTTCCATAAATTTTTTAATTTACTTATTTCTTTATTAACCATTTTTATAATCTTTAGGACAAAAAAATAATAACATTTAAATGTGGCGAAATTATCCGCTTGCCATTAAAGCGAAAACTAGATCGGGTTTATATATCATACGACATGGCGCAAAAACTAGTACCTCGTGATGTAGGTAACGGTATAACGATATCTACAATCACTGGCTTACTCGAAGTTAAAGATAAAGTTCACAATATACAACCATGTGAACCTTCAGAAGAGAAACCTAGTGGTAGCAAAATGCCTCCACCCAGCCGAGAAGAAGTGTTGAAGAATATGAAGTACGAGTATGGCACGCTGGACGTAGATATGCTCAAAAAACGCCTGATACAAGATGGTATCACAAATATTAAAGTAGAGCGAACAGGCAATGTCGTGTCTTTGCAATTGGTCAACGAAGATACGACAATTAAGTTCGATGACAATGAGACTCATATAATTTGTGGTGGTAAACAGTCATTGAGACTCAAACTCCGTGACACAGTGCTGAAATGTCTACAAAGCTTCTAAATACTTAGTTATTAAATGCAAATTTTTAAGAAACATAACATCTTTATTTTTTTGCCAAAACCTGGGCACAGCGATCGCAAACGCAATCGACAGTTTCAACTGCAAAGCGTCTACAGCGTGGGCAAAGATTTAATTCCAACTTTTTGACGTCAATATCACATAAATCAACTTGATTTGATGGTAATAATGTTACGTTTTGTACTTGTAATATTTCACAAAGCTCGGAATTATTCATTGACGTTCCTTCTGCTTCATGTAATTCATTAAGCAGTTTCATTTGCTCATTGCTTTTATTGTATGAAATTTGTACTGATAAATAAAAAGAGTTCGTACTGCCAGCTTGTTGATTTATCAAGCGCTTAATTTCCAGTGCCGCAGTTATAGTATTTTCAGCATTAACATCCTTCCAATTTTGATTACCGTTGAAGTGTTGTTGATGAAAAGCGCTCTTAGGATCTGAATAAAGAAAATTTAAGTGTGTTTTAAGTATTAACTTTTTTTTTACCGTAATGTAGCCAACTTTCTTCTACTAAAAATGGTGTTATAGGCCAAAGTGTACTGCAGAGTACCATATAACAGTTAAGCAAGGTACATTGAATGTTCCTTAAATCTTTTTCATCACCGCAGTAAAGTCGATCCTTGATTGTATGCACATAAATGGCTGAAATTTGATTTGCCACAAAATTTTGTATACTAGTTACTACACGATTGTATTCGCAAGCATCATACAAATGTCGAATCTGTAAAAAATGTAAAAAATATTTATATATGTAAAATTTTTGAATTTTCTTTAATATTTTTCTGACCTCATTTTCGTACTCCAACAAAGTACTTAAAATGTATCTGTTTAGAAAAGTGCTATTATCATAACGCATTTCGGTAGTATTGCCAATTACTCCGTTCAAGTAACGTAGAGTGGCACGCAATTTATTGACATTTTCGGCCGCTTGTTGCATCAGCTTTTCACTAACAGTTATGGACATATTTTGAGAGCCATGAGATGCTGCCCACCACCTAATGGTATAAATTTACACAGATTCATATAAGTATGTGGTTGAGTAAGATATACTATAAAAGAACAGAATTTGAAAAATAAAAGATATTTTTTGAGCTAAATACGAAAGAGAATTTCAGAATAATTATAACTGTCCTGTACGGGGAGGTGATGGGCAGTCGTTACCAATTTTTACTGGACCGCGTTCGCCGAGACAAAATTTGCACCGACTGAGTACAGTTTTTACATACTTACGTGAACATTATTGATTTTCAAATTTTGCATGGCCGCAAAAACAAATTATAAATATTTAAGTTGAACCTGATACCTTAATCCTTCCTATACATTTTTCAGTTAATTAACGCCTGAAAGTATAGAGGATTCCAACACAACACACTAACCAAGCTGTTAAGAAAATAGCGGCTAAATTAACGCACTTAATAGTTGTTGGTTAATAATGAATTGAATAATACAACAACAGATTATATGGCTGATGTTGGCGCAGTGGTAGAACACTCGCCTGTTAAGTCAGGATCCGTTGGTTCGATCCCTGCCATAAGAAGTCTGATGAGGAGATGTGGTGATCTCCGAAACAGCTGTCACTTCTACCATTTTTCTTTGTTGTATAACAAATATTCAATTCATATAAAGAACAAGGCCTAGTAGTTTACTTAATAAAGAATTAATATATAGCATGGCCGCAAAAATGTTTACGTTTCTTACCGCAAAACATCGGCGCCGTACTTTTTAATTATATCATTTGGTGAAATCACGTTACCAAGAGATTTTGACATTTTGTGACCCTTATCGTCTACTGTAAAGCCATGCACAAATATTGACCTAAAGAAAAAATTACACATTAAAAATCAATATTATTATGTAATTATGAGGGACATCTCTTTAATTCTATTACAACATACTTGTAAGGTGCCCGATTTCTAGCTGCAATGCTTGTTAGCAGGGCCGATTGAAACCAACCACTAAACTGATCATATCCTTCTAGATAGACATCTGCTACTTTTTCATTCTTTAACACACTTGACCATGTACTGCCCGAATCGAACCAAATATCAAATATGTCTCCGCTCTTTTCCAAATCAGCAGTAGAAATATTAAGCGATTGCTGTATACTCGAAGGCAATATTTCTTCGATACTTTTCGACCACCAGAAATCAACATTACCTTCCTTTTTAATAAGAGTGCAGATGTGATTATTTAAAGATCTATAAAAATCATGATGAAGTCATACTAAAATATTTTCAGATTTGTGTATTATTTAATATTTACCTATTCAGAATTATTTTTTTCGTTTTTCTTTCATAAAACACTGGTATGGGAACACCCCAGACACGTTGTCGTGATATACACCAATATGGTCGTTTTCGAACTTGAGTAATCAGCGCTCTTCTACTTGCATCAGCTTGTAATCGTGGATAAACATTTATTTTGCTGATCTAGACGAATGAAGGGCATAAAAAACGATATGTAATAAGAAGTGTGATCTAAACTTCTACCTCTTCAATGGCACGGTCTTTTAACTGTTCGGTATTCAAGAACCATTGCTCACTCGCTCGTATTATTACAGGCTGTTTGGTGCGCCAATCGATGGGATATGAATGTGATAATTTGCTGGCATGTACTACATCTCTTGCTATATTTTCCAAAACTAATTGATCACCTTCTCCCAAAGCAGTTTTTCCCCTTAGAAAGTTCGGAGCTTCCGAACTGTAAATACCTTCTTCATTAACAAAACAAATCTGTAGAGAGTTAAATAACGTTATATGCATATGTGTGTGTGTGTGTGTATTTTGTTTTTAAACTAACCACTGGCAATTTGTGTTCCAGACCAACTAAAAAATCTTCAGGTCCATGCGCAGGCGCAGTATGAACCAAACCTGTTCCCTTCGAGTCCTGCACATGTGCTGCTGCAAAAAATGGCAAATTCTTATGGTCAACCAAAAAAGGATGTTGGTACGTGCAGTTAGTCAAATCTATGCCTTGCAACGTTGTAATATGCTCGTACGAAATGCCAGTAGTTTCGGCAAAATTTTGCAATAAGCTTTTACCAATAAGATATAGATCGTCGCCGAAATTGTTTAATTTAATCACGTTGTACTCCATTGAGGGATTATAGCAAATTGCTTGGTTACTTGGCAGCGTCCATGGAGTTGTAGTCCACACCAATGAGTACATATTGGTGTTAGGAGCAACTTTCACACTGCTAGGAGCATTCGTCATTCGAAAACGTATGTATACTGATGGACTAATGAAGTTCACATCATACTCTAGTTCTGCCTCAGCTAAAGCTGTTCTGGAATATGTATACTAGTTACTTGATTTGCTTTCACGTAAAGATATTCTAATATAATACTGCGAGGTTACAAGGAAATTTAATTTTTTTTATACTTTAGTACGTCTGCATTTTATCGTATTCAAATTTTAATAAAAATTGGTAAAGTATTTCGGAACAAAAAATTTATTCAATAAAAGTCATACCTTGACGATGGAGACCAGTAAACGGGCTTCAAGTCTCTGAACACCAATCCACGTTCGTAGAAGTCCATGAACATTTCTAATTGATTTATTATAAAATCCGGTCTCATTGTCATATAAATATATTCATCTTTAAGCCAATCGCCTAGTATACCCCATGATCGGAACTCGCTTTTCTGTCGCGCAATAGCATCCAAAGCGAATTTCCGTGCTTTTAAGGAAAAAAAAGTTATGTAAAATAATTACATTAATATCTTATAAGCACAATATTGCAAAATATTTACATCTATGACGTATACAGAGCACATCTTGTTCAACACCCTGCTCTTTTACTTTCGTGGCTGTAGCTTTCAATTCAATAGGTAAACCATGACAATCCCAACCGGGTACATAATGCACTTTCTGACCACGCGTAACATGATTACGTAAGGTAATATCCTTTAAAATCTACATCATAATTGTTTTTAGTATTTATCGACTGTGTATCTCTTATAAATCAAACAACAGAAGTAATGTATAACCTTGTTTACAGCATGTCCCATATGTAAATCGCCGTTGGCATATGGTGGACCATCGTGTAGAACAAATGTAGGTTCGCTGTTATGCTGCTGCTGATAAGAATATGCTTGAGAAAACACCGACTGTAGTTACGGAAATATATAAGCCATGAATTAAAAATTATTGTAGAATCAGCCGAGTTACCTCAACTAAATGCCGCTCCGTTTCTAAGCGTTTCGCGGCGCTCACACGATTTGCAAATTTTGTTTTTGGCAAATTAATTGTATTTGTATATTTAATAGGTGGCTTTGTGGCCTGTTTAATTGAAAAATTTCGTACTGAAGTAAAATTTAAAATTAACTTAAGCATATTGTTTGGTTTTGTTATGTATAAATCAGCTGATTGTCAGGTAACTTGGAAATCTGTTTCTTTCTGGTTCGGAAAACAGCTGTGAAGCATCCCTGCAAGAACAGAGAACGTAAATCCAACAAGAAGGTTCAATTGCAGACCAGCGTGTCAGTGTAAAATGTCAAAAGCTGCCAAGTTACGATGGATGCATTTCACCACATGTCGCCAGAAACTAACAGAGTTTGCTATTGTTGCAGAACTTACTGAGCGAAGTAAAAAAATATGCTCAAAAAAGTACTGCTCTGGCTACAACTAAAATCATTTATGTTAACTTCAGATAACGAATTTTTGTAGGATTTTTATCAAAATAAACGAAAATATTATTCTTAAATCATTAATACATTTTATGAAATAGGGGTGAAAGCACAAATTTCAATAATGTATTTTACATCTTTTTAAAACTTCTGTATTATCTAATAGTAAATGTTTTTCCTTATAAAGGAATGATTTGCCGTCGGCATTTCGCAATAGCGTATTTTATAAGCAGGATTATTTATTCATGAATTGTAATTTTAACATATTAATGAAATTTCTGATTAATAATTTTATTAACTTATAAATCAAAAATACATTAATTTGTGCATATGAACTTATGTATACATCATACAAAATACTGACCTGCCTCAAGAAATATATGCATGCATACATACATATNTGGAAGGAGTAGTGACAAAGCGAACTGGTTGGCGTTAACATCAGTGAAGATGTAAAGTGAACGCGTTGGGAATTACATTTAAGTAGAGTAAATTGTGAAAGTTGATGATAGTGATTATAAATAGTAAAGTGCAGTATAATTGAATTGTGGATTACTGAGAAAATAAAGGACATTAGATAGAATCTTTATAATGAAAGAAACTGCAAATTAAGTTGGCGAGTTTTATTTAACAATCCAGAGATCGTACCCGAAGGATCTAGAAAATAATCGAGGTTGATTTAGTAAAATCGTAACAATATGAATGTACAAGTATTCTTACACACATACGCAAAAACATACAAACACATTACTTGTTTGAAAACATACTTCCCTCTAAATACTTCTCTCGCCCAAAAGCTGAAATCAAATACAACAATAACATTTTCATTTATAGACGCCTGCGCCCTATAACCAGAGAATGTATAATAACGAGAAGGTTCAATTGGGGACCAGCGTGGAAACTGTTATTATACATTCTCTGGTATTTACATTCTCTGATTTGTATGCGCTCAGAAGAGAAAGATAAACAAAAAAATGTGTATATGTGTTGGTTCTGCCGGAAATTGTGCCCGTTCTTGCAGGGCATGCATTTCTGACAAATGATCGGAAGCAGGGGCATTTATTTTTTAATTTTTTCACTGTCACTGGCAATTTGCGGCCGTACAGGACACCACAAAAGTTAAGAAAGGAAATGAAAATTCACTAGAATTAAGATTTTTCTGAATCTGGTGAGTGCAAAAATTTACATCGAAACGTTGTCAAAAAGAAAATAAATGCACTCGCACATACAAGACAAAAACACTTTTTATTTAAAACTGTACTTCTACTTTTTTCGTTTTTCCCCACAAGACGCGCACGATCCCTCAGGCTCGTTGCTGAAATCGCCTCTGGAAAAAAGTCATCGTTTTGAAAAATGAATATAACAAAAATGCCGCAAGAAGTTCGTATTTTACAATGTTCGGAATGCAAATTGTTTCAAGTGAGTAGAAATATTTTACGAGGGCTCTTCAAAAGAATGTTCGAATTTTGAATTTTCGCGGGTTGTATATATTCGATAGTTTGTTGTTCACAACTGAGAAAGTAATAATGTTTTTGTGAGCTTTTTAACTTTCCGTTTCGACTTCCATTAATATGATTTGGCCTAGGTATCAACTTCGTGACCATATACCCACATTTCGTCATCAGTTATGACCTTTTTGAGCAAATTTGTATCGTCGTTGACGTCATTAAACAATTCTTGAGCAATATTAATTTTTTTTTTAAAAGCCCAATATCGAAGAATACACAATAACGTGACTACCTTTTCAGTTGTCAACAACCAACTAAAAAAAAGACTTCGTATATTCCTAGCAAGTGAATTTAATGCGTTCATTTTTTTTTTAATTTAAGGTAGATTTGGTGAAAAAGACAAATAAATGGACTTGTAAAATGTGTAATGTTAAACAAGTTTTGCGTAATGAGTACTTTCGGGGAACTGGCTCAGAATGCCGTGCTAAGGTGCAAAAACTAAATAAAGAGCAAGCTTTAGATGGGTCGAACGCTTCAAAGAATGCTTTAGAGAAAGTAGATAAATCTCAATATGTTGAACAAATCTCTAACGTAAAACATACACCAGTGTGTAAGAAATCTTCGACAGAAGTTGAACCTAAATGGTCTTTTTCACAACATATTCAGAGTCCCATATCAGGTATTGATAAATTTGGAACAATTTTGAGAAACACATATTCTGAAAAAATGTTACAGAATGATACGTCCGATAGAATAACTAAGCAGATTAAAGAAAATGGTTCTCCCGTAAGTGTTAAGAAGCACGGTAAATGGGATCAATATTTGTAAAAAAAATCGTTTTTTTTAAGACACAAAAATATATTGCAAAAACATTAACATGTATTTAAAATTAAACGTGTTTCGTTCTTTCTAGCAACCCGTCTTGTTTTGAAAAGTCGTATCACTTTTGAGGAAAAATTAAAGAAAAGGAGTTGAGTTACCTGCATAGCAATAAAAGAAGAAATCATGATTTAGTACATTTTATTACTTCTACGAAAATACCAGTGAAAAAGAACTTTAATCGACTTCGAGTAGGTGATGAGCTGAGGGAACTTCGCCATACCTATTTATGAAGGAAAACTAGCCAATTAGTTTTTAAAATAATTTAACGAGATTTCGTAAGCAAACATTATATATTTTTTTAATAATTTGTTTGGGTACTTGTGTAAGGCTCTTATTCACATTCCGTGGCCTGAACCTTGTTCAGACTAAATTTGGCTATGCCTTGATCAGTATTTTGTACTTTGTTAAATTTGTAGCCGCTGTGGAGTTGTGACAAGTGCCTTTGTTACTAAGATTACTACAAATCACATAAATTTTTATAAGTAGCCGTACCTTAAAAAATTTCCCAACAACTTTCAATTTAATTTAACCACAAACATATGAAAAATCGAACCTTGAAAAATATTAATTTAATATTTATTTTCCTACTTCTGAAGAAAAAGGTTTAGTGTCATTATATAATCACATTTTAGTTCCCTCCATTTGAGGAGGAGTTCGGCCAAAAATTGGTTGTACTTTGCCAATAAGATAAAGCTAAATTTAGTATAGCTATATATTGTAGTATATTGATAAAAAGTTTTTGGAAATTTGGCTAATTCGGCATGTACGAGAGATCAGAATGAAAAATATTTGTTTTTTTTTTCTTTCATAATTATTATTATTTAATCAGAATTTCAATTGTGTTTACATGTTGAATTCAAAATACTTTCCAATTTCCCGTTGGTGACTAAATTTTTTTTGTGGATGAAGAGACTGTTACGCAGTATGCCCACACATTTAAACATTCATTTGATAAATATTTATTATCCGAGAGAATTAATGTTTAGCAAATCTAAAACTACAAATATTGATCGCCGTACTAAGCGAGATATATTGGTCGTGAAGCTTAAGCAGACACATCTTTTTTCAATATTTTTTCATCTGAGCAGAGTTCTTCACCATCGGCTGCATCAGTTTCGCCGCCCGGACCTCCTTTTCCTGATGAGCGACGGCGTTTGCGGTTTAGACGCCATGGTCGTATCGGAAACTTCAAAGCAGGCAGTTGGTCCATGCCAAGAACCTTGTAAATTTGCCTAAAGGCAATATAACGTAGAAACAATTGTGCAGAAACAGTTAGATCTTCACGCTGTTGCTTGGTCAAATCTTGTAAAGCATCTTGAGCTTCTTTTTCGCATGGATCCAAAAGACCAGGGCCATTGATGAGAAAACCAGAAGCCAAAGCCTCCATTATACGGCGAAGGCAATCACCAGGAGATATTGGAAAGCCGGCCGATGAGATCACTTTCTCCACCAGTAGTTCAAGAGACCACTGTGGCAATGCCTGCCATGACTGAATGCGTTGACAAAGATCACGCAGGATGCGTATTACCATTACACATGATTGTAGACCTGTAGCACGGGCTTGGAACCATTTAGCATGACGAAGTTCAGCCAATGCCTGAAAAAAGTATATACATATATAAAGTATTACGAATTTTTTTTTTTTTAAACTCATAAGCATCCATACCCTCAGGCATGGCTCACGTGGCAAAAGTGCAGCATCACCAGTACCGCCGTTAATGGCAGCATCACTTTTACCATCTTGTGCAGCTTCACGTAATAACGGCGAAGTCAGCGATATCTTAACAGACACCACATCGTCACGCACAATTACAGCCGAGTCTTGAGCTACGACTTCAACCACATATTCAACGGGGTTCTCACCTGAAATTTAAAAACGTATCTAATTAAAAACTGAATACGTACAAACATACATATGCATATGTATAAAGGTAATTGGACAAGGTGCAATTCATATGCATTCTATTTCAACTATCTTTAATGAGTTTTATGAACAATATCGGGTAAAGCGACAAACGCGTAAATTATATTGTCGTCGACAAGTTAAAAACTGCAACTCCATTGTGTAAAATTTTTTTTTGGGGAAAAAATAATAGTATGTTATTATGATTTTGTTTATTATATATGTCTGAAGAGTGCGTAATTTTCAATTATTATCAAATCATTTTTTTTTTTCGAAACACAATTCCAAATTTTTTGATCAGGTTAGCTTTGAAAAATATATCAAATTGTATTGTATATGAATTACAAGAAGTGGTGGGTGAGCTAATTCTTCAACTCTATTTTAAATATTCGGCAATATAGCTTTAAGCGAATTGCAAGGGATGCTAAGTTAGCAGAAACACCGTTTCCCTGATAGTAAAAAAAAGTTTAAAGAGAATCTTAGCGTAGATCGTTACGGGCAGAAAAAAGGCTGCTGTGACCACACAAAGGCTGAGAAGGTGGTGGCCATGTTAAAAGGAAATCTTAACCTTTCGGAACGGAAAACCGCTCAGTTAGCGAATTTTATCGAGTCATTTGTGCAGAGAGTAAAAGCCAGAAGCGGGACTGAAGACATATAAAGTTTAGAAAGCATCGGACCGAATCGCTGAGGAGAATTGCGAAGCAAAGATACCCGCTCAGAAATTGAGAAGAGACTTTATGAACCAGTTTAGTTGTTGCACAGTGGATTACCACACTTACGTCCTTCTTCAAAGCTTAAAGAAAGACAAAGTTTCCGCACACATTTTCTAGTTTGGTAAGCTATCTGCACTTGTGGTAAAAAAGCATAAATTTATTTCAGGACTTCTGGAACAATTAATACTGACATTTACGTGAAGGAATGCTCGCAAAATAAACTAAAATATTTCAAAATCTGTCATCATACATGCCATCCGTTAGCATCAAAGAGGCATTTCCACAAAGGTTCGGAGTAGCAGCTTTTACGTCGACGGTTAATGTACATATATAAATATAATAGGTTTAATTATAGCGGTTTAACTTGTCACTTTTACCAATATTCACATCATTAAAAAGTATGACTTAACCTTTATGTGACTAATACTGTTACAACTCAACATAATTTCAAAAATATCAAAAACTTTAAATTGCATGAGAAGATAAAATAGATGATGACATTATGTTCAATAAATTCTCTTTTTAAATACCCACTACAAAGAAAGAGAAAAGGCGCAAATTGTTATTATTTAAAGGGCGAACCAAAAAATAAAATACAAAATAAAACAAATAAAAAACAAACAAAAAATTGACTTTAATTATTCATAGTTAATCATGAATTATTATTCATACAAAACCAAATTAAATTTGTGTATTTACAATTGACTTATTTGCTCGAAGCACTGTTATATACAAATGAAAACACATGCATTAAAAGCAAGAGTTATTTATTTATATTCTTTCCACTGTAAAATTAAATAAAAACTTGTAGAACAAAAGTATGTCAAATCAGTTAGGTATATTGATATATAGATTGTTAACGCCTACAACTTCGCATTTTATAAAATGCTTACACAAATCAGCCACATAAAGGTTAAGCCAACGTATTTATTTAAGGATTAAAGTATCCCTAGTAAGCAGAGGTACAAAGCATACATGTATGTTTGTATAAGACGATTTCTTACATCGGAGGAGCCAAACAAAAAATATTGTAAACGTATGTATGTAGGTACTTTCAGACTTTGCACCTCTCTTTACGTACGAAGCACTTTTGTAATTCTCTTAATTTATCATAAGTGTAGGCATAAAAAACTTTGACCGAAACTCAATGCCGAGTGACGCCACGAAAAAATTAAGTATCTGCACCATTGGATCGTAAGTTATTCATACATTTTTCGTGCCTTAACCGAGGACAATTACTATTAAATGCGTGAGTGACTAGACACAGGTATGTGACATAGTTAGTATATACATGTATACAGCACTGGCGTAACTGTCATTTATGTTTCGGTCACAATTTTCTCATATCGAACCACGTCTTCTTGTTTTTCGATACACACAAAACGGCTGAGCAACTTACGCTGGTTGCTACATATATTTACAACGGAAAAAAAATATTGGAATACAAAGTAACTGCAAAGAAATCATGCATAAGATTTTCACTTAATTTGGAAAGGTTTGACCGTTTTGTTTGTGTAACTATTTGAAGAGCTTAGTTTCATATGTGATTTTCACCTTAGAATTTAGTATATCGAAAGGATTTTATTTACACAAAGTTAAGTTTTGCAGTTCATTGCTTGTAGGGATAGAACGCCGCGGTTTCGTATACTATTATATTTATGGATGCTGTCAAGTTCATAAAAACAACAACGATATGTTGTACCTAAAACTTTGTATAAATATATTCCTTTATTTATTTTGGGCCACTCGCACATAGGCGCAGAGTTCATTTTACCGTTCAAGTTCCAGTCCAGCAATAAACAGCGCGAGAAAACAAAGTTACTATGTAGGAGGAGTACCCGAGTATGCGTACCCGCACCACAACAAAAGTGAAGTAGAGTTAAGCTGTATGTCCTGTTCACAAACCTCAAATAACATGTATGTATATCCGATGAAGAGCTGAAAACACCAACAAATAGGTTTTAGTTTGTTCATATCCCTTCTTTTTTTACTTGTAAACATTTCGTATGCGGATGTGCAATACTCCACCAATATGCCATTTTTCATTTTGCATTCACTTTTTCCATACAAATTGCCTTTGCTTTGTTTACAAATCTTATCACTCGTATACAGATATATACATATATGTATTTTTTTAACAGCGATTGTAATTCGTGTAAAAATCCATAGATGTTATCATGTTAAGCGTACATGTAAATACTGAAATCGTACATTACAAAATCTATTGAAAAACTTTTATAGAGTTCACCAATATATGTATGAATTTTACAAAATTGTTTCAAACATTAGATTACCGTTATTCGGAAAAGAACTTAGAAAACTTTACGTTTTCATTATAAGCCATTTCTTTGGAAAAAGTTATCACCCATTTTTCTGATTTTACACACCACAACCATAGCTATATTTTTGTATAAGTTTGGGGTATTTAATCAGAAAACATACAATTTTTTTCGGAGAGGAATAAATCAATTTAAATGACTCTATGTAATTAAAATAATTTAAATAAATGATAGGCTGAGTCAAACATTTTCTCGACTATGCTTCGGTAACTGTAGAGAAAAAAGCTGTCTTGTTAAATTAAAAATGGTAAGTCACGTATTTCATTTTTCAGTTTTTTCTAGGGATTTTTTTTTTGTTACAAAATTACATCTAAAATATTTCAGTTGCCAACACATTTTCGAGAATATATATTTAACAGACATGTGGCTGTAAGCATTGATGTTTAGTTGCATGTTATTTGGTAATTCAAACATGAAAAATTCAAACCCATAAGAAATGTATAATAGTATGGTTGATCTTAGTTAGGCTCTTACCTGCAACTTCCTTCAGTTTGGTTGGTAATTCAGCTGCTACCCGTTTCAACAATCCAACAGTTGGCTTTTCAGAACATAAAACTACTAATTCGACAGCATTGTCACCCTGTAATAGAAGGCCTTTGGCCAAAAATCCTACGCGCATTACACCCTTAAGAATGCGTACATTGCCGCTATCAGCCTCTTTTTGAAATGATAACATCTGATTATCACGACCATCTTTTACTTGGGCATTGTCAACTTTCTCCTTTTTGGCTGCAATCCCTTTTTCATCTGGGTTCTCAGCAAGTTTATCTGATACGAATTTTAATGCACGTTCAGTGTGAGAAACAATACGTTGAATTGTTTGCAATTCTTCCTCTTTGGGATAAATTTCAGCGTGGCGTGCAATAGCATGACGATCATCAGTACTCTCAGGACGGCGAATATTTCCACCACCACCACCAGGCATCATTCCAAAGAAAGGTGGCGGACCATTGCCCATACGGCCACCAAACCCACGCTGAGCGCCTTCGTTTTGAAAAGCAATTGTTTAAAACATTATTTCTTTAATTTGAAAAAATAATGCAAAAATTACTTACCTGCAAAACTACGAGCCAACCAATTGCTGTAATCATATTCGTCATCATACTGTGCCCGGCGACGTTGCTCATCCCAATACATTCCACCACTATTTTCATGTTCATCGCCGAAACCTACATTGCTGCCGCGGTGAGATTGCATCAATGCTCTCTGAGCGCGAGCTTCAGCTAAACGCCTTTGACGTGGTGTGGGCTTAAAATCAACAACCAAATCGGGTTGAACCTTCCTTTTATATTGAAGACGGTGACGACGACCCTTCATGTGCATCTCTTTTGCATTTGGATCATTGAATTTGCAATCGCACAGTTTACAATTGAAGCTAAGAATTTTGCCCTCGTCGTCCTTAATCTCCTCAATATATTCGCCACCAACTGGTTTAATATTATCGGTATTTTCTCCCGCCCCAGCACTATCATCTAGGTTATCTGAAATATATCCTAATATTATTAAAATTTTGATATTCATTTTAAATTTATTGTACCATTTTCAGTGACGCTAGTATTTTCAGTTTCAGTTTTCTCAGCAGTCTCGGTCGTACCACTAGCTGGGACAAAGTTAATCTTTGATAACTTCTTCGGCTCATCTGGTGGTATTGGCTTTCCAAGTTTCTGATGAAGTTTAACTACCTTTTGATGTTTTGCTCCACGAACATGAGCGGCATACGCATCTGTACCAGTACAAGTCACATCACATAGCTCACAATGATAATTATTACCACGATTTTGTGTAGCAGACTGTGCAGTAGCTTGCATTTTTAATGATGCTTCACGTTTCTTATGTTTTTGGCCTTCCAAATGCTCACGATAAGTTTGAGGTCCAGCGCATGAGATCTTGCATACTTCACAGTAGTGTAATTGTTGTGGCCGTGGTGGAGGCTTAGTTCGTGGACGGGCAGCAGCACTGGCAGCGCCACCTGCGGCACCCTTCGGTGCACGATATTGCCATCCAGCTCCAGCAGCCCCATTGGCATTCGATTTTATAGTGCTGCCGGGTTGATGCTGTTGTTGAGCAACATACATTGATGCTGCACTATACAAAGCTGACTCATAGTTAGTATAAGCGCTAACTGGTGTAGCAGTGGTAGATACCGGAGCCGTTGATGTTTTAACAGCGCCATTTGTCTTGTCTTTAGCTCCCGGCGCTTTTGTATTATTGATGTTCTTTACAGGTGGAGCTGAATAATGGGTTTTGCTAACAGTAGCTGCTGGTGCAGTGTTGTAGCTAGCTGGCGCTTGTTGATAAAATGTCTTAGAAGCGTCATATGCGGGTATGGCGCGACCGTAGTCGCCGTACCCGGCATAGCCGCCGGCTCCAGAAGCGCCAGCAGCTGCATAGCCACTCTGACCAGCAGCAGCTGCTGATTGATAAGCAGCAGCATTGGCATAGGTTGCGTTTGTTACAGCAGGATAAGCAACTTGACCAGGATTGTATCCACCTCCCGCAGCGTACTGAGTACCACCATAACTGAATCCGGCATAATTATTATTAGCCATTATAATCAATTCCTACCAATCAATGTGACCTTAATAGCGACAAAAAATCAATAAATGTGGCTGTCGCAACATTGAAATAAAACTTTTGTTATAAAATGTGTACTTGCCTGTAATGGTTATTTTTAGCGCTCTTGACGGCGAATAACCCTAAAATCCTATAAGATTTCCTGTTTCACAATTGAAATCGAAAATCAAAAGGTTTATAGTATTTTCAATTGAATCCTGTTTCCTGAAAGAAAAAGATATTTAATCGACGCGTCACTTGCCGAAGCACATCTAGGGGTTGATCGGCACATTTTTCATAATTTTACACGCTTATAAACATAATTGAATATCCACCAAAAGTTTAATTAAAGATATAGAGCAATGAATAAGCTATCAAACAAATATAAATTTACTGAGATATAGTAAAATTTTAATATATTACCAGCTATTTCTAATTAAATTCTTTAGAAGAACATCCGCACAAGTCGTGAAAAATTGTCGGAAATTCACAAAGCAATTATCGATAACAGCGGTAAGAGAATTTTATATATAATCGATAAATTAATATTCCATTTGCTTAGAGTTTCAGTATGTCTGAGTTTACACTGTTATACTTTTTGTCGCCTTTTATTGTAAGTTCCCTTTTGAAGGCTTATTCTCAATGTTACTAGAAAAGTTAATTTTTCTTTTAATATTTCTAACACCCGAAATTGAATTTAGTATTCTACCGCACAGGTTCCATTGTTTGACGAAACGATGCGCAGTTTGCTTTTGTTTGCGCATCAATAACTTTACCGATGCATTTTTGAACATGATACATAGTCAAAGTTTGCACAGTTGCATTTAGGAGTGCGTTGTTGTTGTTGTAGCGGTTCGCTAACCCCGCTTAGCCACAGGTTTGATTAATCTAAGTCGCCGAGGTCATCTAATAGGGGGTCCAGGAAACGAGCTGTTTCGACGGGGTTGGACCAAAGGGAGAGGGGCGTTAGATGGCTTGAGAAGGCATGTGAAGAGGTTTGTGTCGTACGGCGACTCTCCACTTGCAGGGCATACGTTGGATATGCTGGGGTCTAGTCTGGATAAGTAGGAGTGTAACCTGCTAAAGTATCCAGACCACACAACATTTAGTTTATATGCTACCATTCTGGACGTGGTCCCGTTAACCTATCATTCTAACGCCATACGGATTATTTGTTTCTTCAAAAGCAGAGCATATTACCGCAGATATAATTACTCCGTATAATGGAAGGTACATCGAGGGAAACCGTCCGGATTAAACAACAGGATAGCCTCACTAAGTCAGATAGTGCTGAAGAACCGAGGTCGGACAACGATGACGTAGCCACTGCATCCGATTCTACGGTAAGCGCATTATCTGGTGCGAGCAATTCTTTAAAAACCGTCAACAACAAATGTTCATGGCCATGCAAAGGCTAATTAATTCCTTGACCAGCCATCTGCGTAGCACTCGGGCTGACTGAAAACTTCCGTACAAAATCGACCGGCACAAGTAGAGGACACTTTAAAGTCACATCCGAATGCAGGCCCAGAATTTTCCGTTACATGCACCACTGCCTAGACAATAGCGGTACAAGCATACCCAATAAAGGACTTACATTACAGTACGAGCGCAGCAGCAAGCAGTTAACCTTACGCCTGAAAATTCTTACTTGCTTTCACAACCGCGCAAATTGCAAGATTTGCCATGACGGTCATGCAGAAGATTAGCCAATGTTCGCTGCAGCGTTCTTCGAGAATAATCAACGTTCATAAAAAAGCCTTAAGGGCGAAGTCCGAGGAACGCTGCATTCTCTGCTTATTCATCCAGATAAATTCCACGCTGTCATGAACCTACTTCGATTTCGATTCGGTCGTCCGGAGTTGGTGATCTGGAGTCAACTACGCCAAGTACGCGAAATGCCTGTTATTTAGGAATCCGGCATCGACAATATTATTCCGTTTTCCGTCAAGATAAAAAATGTCACTGTCTTTCTACAATCGGTAAACGGTCATCAGCACCTTTGTAATCCAACGCGTTTGGAGGAACTTGTGGCAAAATTGTTTATGAGTAAAAAATAGAAGTGGGATAAGAACACATTGGCGATAGAGCCGTATCCAACCGTTAAGGACTTCAGGAATTGGCTTAGTGTAGTAGCTGACGAAGTTGCCTTAATGACTACAAACGTCGAGTTCTATTTCAAACCACGAACAACATAAAAGAAATTAGATGTCCACTGTGCCAAGATGAACACTTCTTATGATTATGATTATGTGGCTGTGGTAAAGCCACAAGTGAAAACGCAGTTATTCTGGATGTAGACATCAGTAGCTATGGTGAAAAACAGAATCATAAGCTTCGCCACGTATATGGAATTCAGATCTTCAACTCCCAATGCAAGGTTTACAGGACGTTGATTCAAAGTTATTGGAAAAGTTATCGTTTCGACTATATGTCAACGCTATTCCCAAGGTGCTCATAGTCCGACAGTAAAGAGACATATTTTGTCTATTGTATTCTACAAAATTTGACAAAACACTCACGCTTAGCACAAAATAGAGTGAAAGATCATAGCCGATTTAAGTGGAGTCCTGAACCGTCCTGTAGCGAAATAAGTCTTTTTGGACGTAGAGAAAGTGAATCGAATCGATTCACGGAGGAGGGAGTGTAACAAAACGATTCGTGCTGGGAAAATTTGATCCAGTAACAACTAGCAAGTATGAAAAACAGCTCATTTGTGATCATATGATTGAGTTTTTGTCAAAAAAAACTGAATTGATTTAAAATTAAAGTAATTTAAATTCTTTAATATGAATTATATGCCAACAAAATACGTGGTTAAATGTAATATGGATTAGTTTAACTGAACAATATCAATGCTTCCAACAATAGAATCATCGCACGCACACTACCCAGCTTCCGTTGAGGTATTAGAAGTTAGGAAGGCATAGAATTAGAATACATTATTAATTTTTGTACAATGCAGTGATAATTTTTTTTTTTTTTGGATACCTTACATTTGCTAGAAAGTAGAGTCGACCAAACGAGCCGCGACGGTCACAATATTAGTAGCATTTAGAAGGAAAAATAAAGCTCTTACCTGGTTTTTATTTAAACAGAGTCGAATAAACTCTACAATAATGTTGAGTTAATATGGCCGACTTACACGGAAAAGAATTTCAAACTTATTTTTTCGTATTTCAGTCATCCTTACTGAAAATCTTAGGGATAAACTGTTGCAAACCAAGTTCTATATCAATCCTCGTCCTTTTGGAGAACCATGAGAAAAACAAATTAGTATTTTTATCGTTTGACGGCTATAAAGCATATAGAATTTCATCATTGTTGAAATACAATGAATTTCGAATATAATTAATAACTTAATAATGCCATATAATTGCAAATTTTATTAAAACACTTATGAAAATACTGAAATTCGCGCTGTTGTACAACTTGCTGGCTAATTTTTACTAAGTCCTGTTTGTTGAAAACTCAGTAAATTTCCTTCTTTCGCTGAGTAAAACGTCTTCCTCTCTCAATTTCACTACCTACTTGTTTTTACTTACATTTCTCAACAGACACAACCTTAAGAAAGTGATGGGCAAATCCTTCTACGAGCTTACGGGATATGACATCACGCATTCCTGACATACAGTACGTCAACTATTTCATCACATACCATTTCCAAATACTTTATCTTTGTTAAAATAAATTTTTGAAAAAGAATGATAAGTACACTAAATATCTCTAAGAAATGTCAATTAATAAGTATGGAATTGTTGGAAATATGCCGTTACTTTTCAAAGAATATTGTTGCCTACAGCCGAACTTTTACAAACCATATCCGTAAACGAGAGAAATGTTTATGACGGATTGATGCGAGCTCTGGAAAGACGCTGTGGTAGCGAACACAGAAGACAGATTTACCAGATGGAGTTAGAAAAGCGCGACCAAAAACCCAACGAATCTCTGCAGGAATATGCTTCGGAAGTTGAGAGATTGGCTCATTTAGCCATTGGAGACACATCGGGTGAGCATCTTGAAAAGGTGAAGATACAAAGGTTCATCAGCGGAATAAAAGACGTGTACACCAAGCGAGAGACATATGTGAATCCAAAGTTGACATTCGCTGAAACTGTTGCGTATGCACAAACACGTTCGTCTGCGAGCAGCCGACTGCTATATAAGGGGACACTCAGCTGCCAAGTCAGGTTAGTTACAAAGTATAGCGGAGTAAACGCGTTGGAGATTACATTTAAGTAGAGTAAATGAATCGTGAATTACTTAGAAAATAAAGAACATTAGATAAATTCTTTGTATCGAAAGAAACTGCAAATTAAGTTGGCGAGCTTTATTTAACAATCCAGAGATCGTACCCGAAGGATTCAGAAAATCATCGAGGTTGATTTAGTAAAATCGTAACAATATTTACAAAAGTAGGCGAAGGCATGTTATCAATAAGTTGACTTTGTGAAGTAGAGGACTATTAGTCGACAAAATATTGCTCTGCTGTTTTTCTTTTTATTCTATAAATAATATTGGTGAAATCGTTAGAATCGAGTTTATAGTTAAACGTCAGTATTTTGTACTATTTTTCCTTATTATTGTATTAAATTTGCTTCAGCATAGATGAATAAACTAAAATAGAAGAATTCAAATGCGTTATTGATTGAAACACAAAATATAGAGAAGTTCCAAAACTCGTTGGTGTTTCGAGGGGTATGGTTTTAAAAACAAGAAAGTCATAAAGCTCTTTTTGTCTGGTCGAATGCCAATTTTGAACGCCACACTGGAAAGACCCATGGTTAGGCACATAAAGTTTTGTGCGCATGAAAATGCGGGCCAAATCAGGTGTGATCTCTTTCATGGCGATGGAATAAATATAATATAACAAAGGAAAAAAGGAAGGAAGGAAGAAATTGCGAGAAAACGGTTCGCGGAAAACGGTTGCGGCTTAAATTTGCAAAAAATATAAAATCCACACTAGAAATTACTGGATCCAAATCGTATGGTCAGACGAAACAGAAATTAACCGCCGGGGAAAAGATGGGCGGCAATAGACAGAAAAACCTCGAGAACCTTTGACAAACCGCATTGCAACGGTGAAGTTTGAAGGGGTAAGATAATGATCACCAGATTGAGAACACGTGCAATGTGATCAGACAGCTATTGCTTCATGGCAAATAGGCTTTCACTAAAATGAATTTAGCCACTGAGGAGGATTCTATAGAACATTAACACTTCTTTGTCTATCACGCTGAGCTAGCTTCAGCGAAAACTAGCCATCTCGTTGCTTTTTTAATGCACACGAAATGATTCGAACATTTGACAAAGTAAAGATAAAAGCCTTATAATAGCGATATCAAAATGGACATATTAGCCTAAGTGCGTTGATCACCGATTAATAGCGGCATCAATTCAATGTCGACATTTCACAAATCTAGTTTAAAAATTTTCAGATGCACAATTGGAAATTCAAAATAAGCATAACGTAATTCGCTCTCAAAAATTTTTATGGCTGATTAAGTAATAGGGGATGTGTTTGGAGTTTGATTTACGATTGAGAGAGCGAACAACCTAATTGGCGTCACGTGGAAATGCCGTATAACGAATGCTCAACCTTAACTGAAAGCTTGAGTCAAAATATGTGAAAACCACAAAAAAGGGAATGACAAAAACAAATAAATTTGTGTTAGCAATTATTTTTATTAAATGAGTTGCAATATATCACAAATTAATAACTTGGTATGAGTTCCAATTCAAACCAACCAAGCATGCCCACGCACTCTAGAGAAGTTCTAAATAGTGGTGCCCCTATTTACTTTCGAAAAATATGAAATCTAACCTTTGTAAAATTTATATGGCGAAGAATGAAACGGCTTGCAGACAACTATCTCATGTATATTTCCCATTGCTTCCCGAGAGACATTGATAACATCCAGTACCTTTAGGTATTTTAAAAGTGATAAAACTTGGGCGGCCGCGGTAGCCGAGTGGTTAGCATTGCATTGTGCCATTTGGAAAGCCAGGGTTCAAATCCTGGGACGATCAACATCCAAAAGTTATAGAAAATTAATTTTTATTTTGCGGTCGCCCCGCGGCGGGGATTGTCAAATAAACAAATTAATAAAACTTTTTAATATTTTTGTGCACAGTCTTCCATTTCGATGCGAATATTTTTCTTTTTACTTTATCAACTGGCAGATGTAATTTGACATGGACGAAAAAAGCAGTGCTGCCAAATTTTTTTCGAACATTTTAACCAGTTCGCTAGAATACCAAATTCAGTTTCAGGTGTTAAAAAAGTCAAAATTGGCACCATCTCGCCACAAACACAAACTAAGGTTTCGGCAACAAAAATTATTTTGTGTAAACTCAGTATTATTTTCATTGAAATCAATAGCAGCCAAGCTCATTCGTAAGTGATGTCTATCTTTTGAATTGATTTGAAGCAGATTTAGATACAAATAATTTTGCTTTTATTCCGGAAATTTATATTGAGTTATCAAATTTTATCTATTACCCTTAAACAATTCTCATCTGCCCGCTACGTTCTCGATATCATTTAATTCGAATACCCGTATCAATGTTTAGACATTTACCCGTAAATAAAGGGAATTTTTAAAAAACTGACATCACTTGCGGTTGTTTCCGAATCGGAGTGATAGAATGAGAAAAATATTCTTATTAGATTCTGGTGATTTTTAAAGAATTGAAAGTTATAAAGTACAAATAAATCTGTGTATGTTTGTAAACTGGCAAAAGTAACACAAATGTATAAAATAGTCCATGCCGAAAATATTTAAGTACATCGTGAAATAATAATTTCTGAGCGGTAGTAACTTAGAACAAAATTGTACTGTCAGTCGCATTGGCAATTGTGTGAAATTACGCGCTTTACAACAACTACGATCCGGCCCAATGCTGTGTAGCTGAAGGTGAAGGAGCTTGTGTTCTACGATTCTATTGTCATCGTTAGTTGAGTCAAAATCGTTTAATACTTTTATATTATATTCGCTGGCAAAGTGCCAAGCGATTTTTGTAAACCTGGATAAACTGGAGAAAAGGTCAAAAGTGGCGAATGTTTCAAATCTAAGTCTTGCTGATGAGGAATTTATATACAATGTCAGCGGTGACATTGAACACTTTTTAAGTCAAAGACATAGTTCTAGGTGAGTACGCGAAATTGCGTCAAAACAAGCAAGCGTGTGGCATTAAATGCACAAGAGCTGTAAAATACCCTGGGTTCCTCTATATTTTCGAAAAATTTTAGTTCAGGCTATTTACTTTTATTTCTGATTTTTTTGTGTTGTTAATATTTGCAAGCCTAATACAAATTGATTGAGGAACGTTGCTGTATTAGTAAAATAGAAAAGATGGGATTCATTCATACCAGTAGATTGGCTCTAACGGAAACATTAATATAAAGCAGAAATTGATATAAAAAAATATTTATATTCTCACAAATAAAAGTAAAATATCCAAGTTGCCTTCTGAAATTTTTTGCAAATAAAGATTTTAATATCACACAGGCCTGTATTGAAAATTTAAAAAAAACCTTATTAAACAAGTTTACAAAAAAAAAAAAATAAGTGGTTCATTTTGTGAAATAAAGTACTGTCTAACGTCACAAATTTAGTTCATAATTATGTTTTTTTTCTCAACTCTTATTTTGAATATACATATGCATGCAAGGTTATAAGTAACGACGATGTAATGTACACTTAAATAAATCTCTATTTTCTTTACGAATCAATCAGCTGACTGGTTTTCTCTATATTGCATTTCTATTTTCCATTTTCCTGCTTTCATAATGATACAAATCCAATACAAATATACAACTCCCTGTTAAACTAGTTTTAGTAACACAGTAACCGACAGCATCGCTTTACGGATGAGCGCGTTTGCACGTACATATCAAATTAAATGCAAAAATTCATAGATTGCATAAACTAAGAAATTGAGTATAAGTACAAATACGAGTAAATAATTTTTAACGCATTGTTGCTTACATAGATTTATCTGAATGCGCCCCCAAATACCTAAAGATTTCCCGCCTGTTTGGGATGAGGGAGCCAACTAATTTCTGTTCATACTGTAGAACTTGGAAATTTTCATTATTATCGAACAAAAGTGCATATCTACAATAACAGTTGCCTTCCACTTAATTCCCTTACAACAAAATTTTATATATAAAGTATACATAAGTAGCAAACATTATAGCTTAAATTCCCATGTTATCCACTACCTTTACCATGCCGACTCTTTCTACTACCTGGTAATGCTGTTGTTTTCATATTATTACATAATATTCTCATAAGTTGCCTATATATCTCTTCTGATGTTTCTTTTTTATTGTTTCATTTTCTGGTTTGTTCACTTCGTCATTGTTACGAACTATGTACATAATTCGCACATTGACGCTTGCAGCGTTTATTTATGCAAAAGAAAAGAAGAGAAATAATAAAAATAAAAATAGTTGAGGGGACTGAAAAGCCGCTAAAATTTCTTAACAGATTTTCTTTAAATCATAATTTGCTACGGTAAAGCCAATGAACACAATCAAAAGCTGAGTTTAGACAGAAAAAAAAGGAAAAGTAAATTTTACTGATATTATTTATCTACTATACTAATGTTTAAGCTCTAGCTTTACATAAAAAATATAAACAGTTTCAGTAACCGTAAACAAATGCGATAAGAAATTTTGATAACGTCAAGCTTTCTATTGCATATTCAAACTATTGTACGTACATATGTATATATGTGTATGCACATATATTTATGTATGTTTAGTATTTATCTTTGCATGTATTTTCACTAAAAATATGTATGTGTATTTGTACATTTGCAGTGTTCTACTTTTTCCACCTGTGAACAATTTTCGTCGTTTTCTTATACATCAGACATGTGAGCAATTTCGCCAGCAATACGATCTCTTCACTTTTTCAGTGGGGCAGGGCTTACACCGTCGTACTGTTGTCTGTTTTCGGAATCAATTATTGGATCCGAATAAATTTACAGATACAGCGGCTGCCGCAAATTTCGAATCGTAAGTATTTTACGCATACATAAATAAATATATATAATACATACGTATTATGTATATACATATGTGCCTAATTATACCCTGCAAAAACTTCGAGTACCTCATGCAGGCGAAAATTATATCCATTATTATAGAATAGAGGGTATCATATGCATACTCTACCTGAGCATAATATTCGAGCACCTAAGGCGATTACATTGTGGAATTTCTAATATATTTATTACTAATAAATATGTATAGAGCATATTCCAATTTGGCTATTTGTTCTATTTGCCTTGGAATATTATATCTTAGCACGAACTTCTGCACGCATTTTGGGTACCAGTAAACCAGCGAAACAAAACTGACTCAATTTCAGTTTTATACATGTTTTGGATAACGTATGTAAAACTTAATGGGTACTTGCAATGTCGTCTAGTAATTGCGGTCGTTTAATTCGCGCACTCATCGTCTAATAATCTGTTGGTAGCAAGACGTGAATTGGTCCAATGCCGCACTATAGAGGAATAGTTCATTAGGTATTTCAAATTTTTGCAGGGTGAATTAACAAAATATTTTTTGCATAGACATACATACATACAAGCATATCTACATACTATCTGAATGTGAATATTTGTTTATTTTGCTTAGCTGTAGTTTACATTGCATTCGTCATTTATACATATGTACAAATGTTAGTATTCTTTTCGTATTCCTGTTCTTATGTAGGCGAAAAAAATCACCGGTGAAAAGTTGGCGAAGTGAGCGAAAAGCTGAAGGTACCGTAAACGATATAACTTCAACTATTGCCAGACAACAGAAGAATACCATTAGTAAGATGGGAGTGGAGAAAAATGGATGTGAAACTCGCAGTAAGCAGTTTTCCTATATATACATATATAAATGTATTTTATTCAATGCGATTTTGTATTGCTTATAAATTATTATTAACACTTTTTTTAATTTAATCATCAGTTTTTATCTTCAAAATGTGCGCGAATATAAATTATCGACGTAAATAAGATAGTTCTAATCACAGATTCTCAAATAACGTAACTATGTTCTATCGTTTATCTGCTTTACTCATAAAATTTCCAAAAGTTTTAACTGAATCCATTGAAATTTTGTGATTAACGTGAAATTTATCATTGCTATCAGCGATGCAGTCTTGGTTCTAACTACATACATACATATATATATATTCTATATTAGCGTTGTAGAAAAAAGTTCGATTCGAAAAAATAGATTTTTTCTGGATTATTGATTTTTAAATTAAGTTTTGACAATGTCAGTTCTTGATATATGTACATACATACATACATATGTATGTGAGCGTTAAGGCAAAGATATTATTGAATTGATGACATTGAATTATCGGGTTATTTCATATTAAACTTATATCTCAAAATACTTGTTTTAACTTAATATATGTAAGTGCATGCGGTATGAAAAACCATATTTATTGAAAGCTTAATAAATTTCTAAGGATTTCAATCAAATGTAAGTGGCATCTATTTACTTATTAAAGTACTTATAAATATCTACCTCTCTCGTTTTGTGAAATATATTCAAATAATTTAACCACTAGATGATTTGCCAAATAAACGCGCATCAAAAAATGCTATAAAAGCCGGCTACAAGTATGTAAGTAAATACACGCTATTTAGATATGTATCTTTTTATATGTATTCATACATATCTATGTAGGTACATTTAAACAAAATTGTATAGTGCTCTGCTCTGCTGTGCTGCTCTGCGGCAACCTGTGATGAACTCCAAAGACGAAGCATTTTTAATTTGCTTGCGTTGCGCTACATAGTCAAATTCAAGGTCGCGATTCATATTTTGTTTTCGACTTTTCGTTTGTTGATTTTGTTTTGTACCCTCTCTACACTGCATACTTTTCAATTTCTTAACTCCCTTTTGACGATTTTTACTTGCTGCGTTTGAGCCAAAAAATTGTACGTGATGTCGTCGCTTTCGCGTCTCAGGGTCGAGTAACCAGTTAGCCAAGCCAAATGCCGCAACCGCTCTCCATCTCCTGACCATTAGAGTTTTTTTTTTAGTTTACCTTTTAAGTGTTTTATTTTTATTTTGTAATCTTAACCGTGGTTCTTTTTTAAATATTTTTTTGCCGTATACACGTATGTATGTATAGAGATACAAAGAAAGAAGAGAATAGTCGCGTCTAGTTGGGTGGTGTGTGTCGGTTAACAATTTAATATATGTATCTATACATTATGTTATAAATATACGTAATAATTATAAGCACAATCATATATTGTGTGCACTTCAAGGCCACTACTCTAGGAGAGTGAGGGTTCGCTCTTTTGCTAAGCACATAAATTGGAAAATCAAAACAAAATGAGAAAAAGCAACACCGCTTTCAAATTTGGGTCAACACTTTTAATTTGTATTCAACAAGTATTTCAACATTATTACATTTTGTGCAGCCTGCATATGTATGTGCGCATAAAGCAAAATGTTTAATACATTTTGCGATATTTATTTATGCTGTGTTCAAAAGCGTATTATCCATGTGTTAAATATTTGCGGCTAATCATAATTTCCATCAAAAAAAAAGTTTACACTTGTAAATAACTTGAGGGAAAATACATATGTATTATATTAAGAGAGGTCCGCATTCTGTACTTTCCAACCATATGATTACTAACAATAAACATAGCTTCCGATACCTAATTTGCGGCCGATTTGGAAAACGATTACCTATTTTATGGGAAAAGTGGCACATCTTTAAACAATACCTAGAGAGCATCAGTGTTTGTTTCTAGAAGAAAAGGGTAGCTGACGCCCATCTATTGGAAAAAATATGTATTTTTTAGTTTTTTCATCAAAAAACACTTTTTTTGAACACAAACAACCGAACTGAATTAATTTGTACACCAAATAGGACACATAGATTCCAGAATATCAAACTGCAAAGTCATAATTTTTGAGAAATTTTGTCTACTTGCACTTTTTTTTAACTCACATAACTCAAACAGAAACTTATGAAACTATCAAAGATCATGATATGAAACTCACTCCCATCGTCCTCCCAATCGAATTATTGTTGAATCTCTCTTTATTGTTCGATTTGGCCCTTAGAAATAATTAGATGTGGGTGCTAGGAGGCCATGATGGAATTGGTCGATTGGTTGCGGAACCCTTTTTCATAAAATGCTAATATAATATTTTTTGTGATCCATTTTGTAAATTTTGTTGGTAAAGTAATAAAATCCATAAAAAATAATATCGTTAATGGGATGTAGAAATGTCATATTCCGACATATCATGAACATATGAAGCGAATATTCTTTGAAAAATTAATTTTAAACATACTATTGTCGACTTATCGTATTAATGACAATTTAAAATTATTTGGTGTATTACGTCATTAATGACACTAATAATGAGTTAAAATATATAATATATATGAATATTTTTAAATTTTATAAATCTTAATTAAAATACATTTAAAAAGGTTATACTTCATACATATATGTATGTATATATGTATGTACATGTGTACTACATCTCTCAATATTTCTAATTTCATTTGCAGTAGTCAAAACGAACTCAATAGATCTCTATCGACCGCCAGCTTTAAGAAATTATAATCTCAGCGCCGATACTGTTGATGCTAACATTGCAGTTTGTGAAAAAAGTGGGTCAGTGAATGCAGCAACCACTGCACCGACCGATGCAGAGTCTTCTTGCGCTGCAACTGCAATTGGCAAAGCCACACTAATATCTACCTCAATATCATGCAATAATTCCCCAACATATGCAAATGAGAGCAATAATAGTTTCGATAATAATACTGTGACCTCGAGGAGCGTAAGCCGTAGTGACGACGTAGTAACGCCAACAGTAACAACAACTCTAACAACAACCGCATTAATGAACCATTCGGAATCGTCTGGCAGCGATATGACAACTAAGCCAACGGCAATCGACGTCGGCGTCAGTAACACCAACGGCCAGCAAAGGTAAACGAACGTAAAGCAATATACTAACAAAACAAAAACAAAAATTAAAAAAAGCGGTTGCCGAAATTCCTAAGCGAGTTTGGTTTGTAAACTATGCAAATTGATTGGTGTGCAAACAGTAAATGCAAAAGCAAGGGTGAAAAGGTGCATTTCAGCATTTGTATTTCGTCTGCGTGTATAATTTTAAATTGTAAAAAGCTATTAATTTTTATTAACAGTTATGTACAAATAAAATTTTTTTAATTTTTTTAGTTTAGTATTTTGTTTGGTAGTAGTTTAAGTAAAATTTTTCGAATTATTTTAATGAAAAGTATTTGATTTCTCTAAATTATAAACCATTTGATCTCCAAAACTTTGGTAATCAATATCGGTAAAATATTTTCCTAAAGTTTATAGGTCAAAGGCTTAGATTTAAAGTGATTTTGGAGATTTTAGAGACATTTAACAAGTTTTCATTTTATGGGTTTTATAACAATTTTACAAAAAAAAGTATATATGAGATATTAACCGATTTCGAAATAAACATGCAGATTCTAGTTGTGCTTGTTAAACATATAAACAAGTTGGCGACTTAGAAGAAGGATCATTTGGTCAAATGGAAAGATTTCAAAAATCTACGTTGCGATTTATTTTTATTATACAATATAATCTATGTGTATGGAATAATGAATTTTGCTATTCAAACCAACTCATAATGTGCTCAGTAACCATGTTCCAATACAAGTGCAGTTACAAGTTGTCCAACGAGTGGCAAGAAGTTAGCGAATCGTCTACATCGTCCACATCGTTCGCATCCAACGTATTTCAAACCTGTTTTATTGCATTTTACGGAATTCTTTTGTGACTTATTTTCCTTTTTGTTTTGCTACTATCTTTCTTAATATCATATGTATATACATATAACAAGTTGCTGCATTTTTGGTTGTGCGTTTCGTTCACCTGCCTGTCGCATATTCGCTCACCTACTTACCTCAAAACAAGCGAACGGATCACAAATATTCACACATTCACATCCATATTTAATGGATTTAATGTGTTGTTTTTATGCTATATTTCTGGTTGTGTATTACATGTACATTCATATGTATGTATGTTTATAATAAGGTATATTATTATATTGTGTTTGCTGCGTTGCGCTGTGGGTTTTTTCACTTCTTTGCAATATTATTTTAATGTATGTATGTGTGAATGTATTGAATGTATATATGATATGATTTATATGTATATATGTTTTACAGACTACCGTCAGCTGTACGACGTGAACGTCGACCAGACAGAGCGGTATATATTCCAAGGGCACGACGTAGTCAAACTACCCCTCCAACAACGCCGGCCCCCACATTCGGTGAAGTAAAAGGAATACATCAGCCGCAACAAAATCACCACCAACGACATGAGCAAGCAAATGCTAGCACATCAATGACCGCTTCGTTAGCTCCGATGCCCTCAACGACAGTCAACAACAACGGCAGTAGTGGTGGCAGCGACGGTTGTAGTAATCAGCAGCAGCAATTCGCGATTACTTCAGAGACAAGAGAGTTAGTATACACCAAAGCGTCGGCCAAACTAGACGATATATCTGGCGAAAAGAGTACTGGGACAGCTGTCGCTAATTCAGTCGGAAAGAAATCGAAATCATCTAACGGGAGTAGTCGTGAGCGGAGAGAACGTTCTAAAAAGTCTACATCTATTGTTGAGGGACAAGAGGCGAAAATTACAAAATTATCATTGGATAGAAAGGAAACGAAACTGCAACAAAAACAACAACAACAGGACGATCATGAGTCAGATGTGTTAGGTGATACGCTTTTAGAAAAAAGAAATTTGATAACTCAAATACAACAGCGACAAGAATATCAACAAAATTTTGATATTGAAAACACACAACAGAGATCATCATCTTCGTTCTACGGGCAACAAGAATCAATAGGACAAGAAATACAAACGGAAATTATCGTTAACAACGAAATGAACTCGAAATCGGTCAAACGAACGAAAGTGAAAAAACACAACAGTAGTAATGTTGGGAGTACAAATAAGGTGCAGAATCTACGCATCGAAGATGTCGCATCAACCGAAAATGGTACAATAAATACAGCAACTAAATGTGATATAGAGGTGCAGGAGTTCCAGCGTGCATCGAAGGTAAATAAAAATATGCTAAGTGTAAAAAGATGTAATTTTGCAGATGCACGTAAATGTATACATCGCTTAGGAGGGGCCTAAATATCCCAACTCCTAATTTTAAAATGTGCCTGTTTGATAAAGAATATATGCACTTACATACATTTGTTGTTTATACATGCGGTGTTATATGTATGTACGTATTTAATTTATTACGTGGAACTCGAGCGAACAAAGGTTTTTATTTATAATATACATAACCAATTGGTTTTAAGTGCTTCAGTAAATTTATGTAGCTTGTACATACGTATGTGTAGGAAGCCAAAGAGTATCTCATAATTATTTTTTTTTTGGCTTAATTTACTTTTTTATTGAGAATTCTTTTATACAACCCGGGTTTTTTTTTCTTTTATTAACGAAAAAAAAACACTTGGTGTTTATGAATTCTGTTAACAAAAATGGAAATTTTTTAACATTGCTAACTAGGGGATGTAAATATTGATTATCAGTGTTTTCGTTTTTTCATGATTTTTAGATTTCGTGTTGTTGATTATAATGAATTTTCCAATTTCATTTCAATATTATTAATAAAAAAAGTGTACTTTCAGTCACAAAAAATGTGTTTGTGAAGCTACCATCAAAATTTCAGATAAATCGATGCAGTAGGGTCCGAATAATCTGTCCTTGTGTGAAAAATGTAATTTTGAGAAAAACGCGTTTAAAGTTTTCATTGTACTCAGCGCACGCTCTGAAGGGCTGCAGCAAAATAAAAAGTTCAGCTTTTTGAAATATTTTTTTCACTTTAAAACCAATTGCATATCATTTCCTGAACCCAAGGCTGCCCTGCGAACAAAAAAAAAAAATGGCGTGTACCAAAATCATAGAGTGGATTTACCCCTTAAACAATAATTATAATTATTGTGAACAAAAATCAGTCAGAAAATAAGTATTTATTTTTAACAGTTTTCACAAAAATTGATATGTTACTATAGAGTGAATCGTTATAAAAAATAAAAATCATCGTTTTTGTGTTAAGTAAACCGACAAAAAAGTTATTATCAGTTAAGCAAAAGTAATTATTAAATTTTGATTTACTTATTCGATATTTAATGAAATATAACGGTTTGGTCCCTGTTAAAAAGAGCTAAAATTAATTTTTTTTCACGTTGTAATAGAAACAAGTAAAACTTTCGATTGTGTTTTAATATTAATATTCTTCTTATATTTTCTAATTTCACGATGTTATATCTCTTCATTTGGAGGAGTCCGAATGTATTATCAGTATTCTATTCATTCTCTTAATTTACTTCAATATCATCTTTTTTTAATTCTTTCTTTTTTACTTGAGTATATCTCATTGCGTTATGTTAATTAAACTATTTTGAAAATCACCTTTCTTTCAAGGAAATAAATCGAAGCAATCGACGCATTATTAAACAAACATTCGTCTCAGATGTACTCGAAATTCCTGAGAAAATCGAAAACACCACAGAAAATGACACTGTCAATCAAAAGAGTCCAAATAATATATTACAACTTCCCGTTGCGCAAACAAATCGTTCAGCAGTAGATAGCACTACTGAGGAGGAGGAAGAAGACGACTGGGAAACTATGTACGATGATAGTGGAGAGTGTTTAGATCCAAAAATTGTGCAAGAGCTCACTGCTTCGGTTGGCAAAGTGAAGATTGAATTACCAAAAATGGATTATAGTGTAAGTAAATGCACTTAACTATTTTTATTTATGTATATACTGATGTAATATAATCATTTAATTAATATTCATGCATACTTCTCTTTGCATTTCACAGGCATACCTTACAAAACAGTCCATACTCAACGATGAAGAGTTCCCACATGTACTCGAAGTATCGAATTTCCCTGTGGAATTTAAGAATCATGATCTTCTGATGGTTTTTTCGCAATACAAAGAGTCAGGTTTCGATATTAAATGGGTGGATGATACTCATGCATTGGCTGTGTTCAGTAGCTCTCGAATTGGTAACATTTGTGTATATTCTTATGCATAAGCATAAAATGTGTAAAATATTCTTTTATATTTCTTTTCTGCAACAGCTGCTGAAGTTTTAACAATGGGTCATCCATTTGTAGTATTGAAACCATTAGCTGAAGCTACTGTAGAATCTCGCTTAAAGGCTAAGAAATGTGCCGCATCCTTGCAACCATATCGTCAAAGGCCGGAAACTTGTGCTGCTCTGGCACGTCGTCTAGTAACTGGTGCATTAGGTGTACGACTGAAAACTGCTGCCGCTGAAAGAGAAAATGAAAAACGTGTTCTACGTGAAGCCAAAGGTAAAATTTGAATTGGTTTTCATTTATAACTTAATTATAGAACTATTAACATTTATTAATCTCTATTATATTATAGAACGTAAATTGTTGGCAGCTAAGCAAAGGGATGAAATATGGGAGAGCTAGGCCACAATGAATGCATCTTGTATTTGTACACTTCCTGCCTGCATTCTAAATAATTATGGACTTCAATTTAAGAAAATCGTTTTTAAATGCGATGAATTATGATTAAATAATTAAGAAATAGATCCCATTACGATCTTAATTGAAATATTTAAAAGTAAGTGAGTAGCAGAAAATTTTTAATTTAAAATTCATTGTATGCTCTAAAGATACAAAACACACCACTCTGTAGTTTTTAATAAGCAAGTGCAATAAATTTGCTCAAAATTTTTTTTATGTATTATTTGAATTTGTTTGTAAAATGTATAATACATATAAAAAAATATATGCCAAGGTACTGCAATATTAAGAATATAGTATATATTTTTGCAATATTTTAGCAAAAAGTTGTGAGTAATGATGTGGAAATTATACATAATTCACATGGATGTAAGAGGTTTTTATTGTGTGTATTGTATTTTTGAAAAGTTGTTTATTTATAAGAGAATTCTAAAAATTTTGCAAATAAATCATGAGAAAGACAACATGTAGTGTTTGTTTTTAATCAACCGTACAGTATTTAAAAACAGATTTCAGGAAAATTGTATAACTTATTTATTGATTTCATAATAATTGGCGCTTTGTAACCGCTGAAGCGGATTTTGGCGAGCTCCTCCTCCAATTAGTTTATAGTAAGCCGCCGCCTCCTAAGGGTTGATGGTTTTTTATCAGAAGCTTCTTTCATATCATAAATACACTCGAAGTGGTTGACATTCCCTATAGAGAAGCGACCGGAATTAGAAAAAGTAACTTAATTTTCTATAACTATTTTTTGGTTGTTGGTCGGACTAGGACTCGAATCCTGGCCTTCCGAATGACAGTACGCAATGAGTTTGCGTTTCCTAAATTGTAGCCTCAACAGCCGAGATGGGCGTGATACGTTTGACACAAAATAAATAACTTGCAAAAATCATAAGGACGATCGAAGGCGGCATACATACATACATATATGAAAAATATGGCACAAATATCCAAGCCCAACGCTTTTTCACAATAATACTAGTATCTTTGTTCATTACTGTTTTGAGCTCATTTTAAAAATTATTAATTATTATTAAATTTAAACAAAACTAGTGTACATTTTCATATTCATCATATATTAGTTCAATATAAATCTTATGCATTTTTATATGAGTGTGCATATGTTTTGATGACATTAAAATCAGAGAATGTAAATACAAAAACGCAAAACGCACACAATCTTAACAATGCCCGAGCCCTTGCTCTTATACCCTGCCATCCACAAGCGATTTCTTCGCGACGATCACAAAATTTTGCTAGATTTCATATTTTTAGCATTTTGGTGTACGAATTCTGGTACAGTAAACTTTGTATACCACGAATATATCCGTCACTAGTCAACAGCTATAGGAGTGATTCGCATATAACTTCATAGATTTGAAATTTGTATTGAAATCTATAATTATCCGAAGTTAATTAACCTTATTAAATAATATTCGTATATTTTTCATAATAAAAATATGTATTAATTCAATAATCGAGGAAGTTTTAGAAGGTATAGGAATCATTTGTTTATATTTAGTTAATTAATTCCTCATCGATTTTAAGTTTCTTATTAAATTTTACATTTTCTCGAATTGCTCAACATAAATTAAATGAAAAAATTCATGTTTGAAAATAATGAGATTATTTTTCAAACATATTTTTGGCATTCATTTCTAATACATTTTGTAAATCTAAACAAAAAGTTCACTCTATCGAGAGCGCGATTTGCTGTTGTCGAAGAAGACACAAATTTGTTTAACTTAAAATTTTTGGCTCTTTGGTTTGTAGGCGAGTCGCATGCGGGGGATGTATGGTGCCTGCGCAGCTAAAGAATTTAATCAAATATGTTTTATTATGTCTTATTTATGATGACTAACATTAATTTGTTCTGAAAATTATTAGTAAAAATTAGAAACTCATAAGTAAATAGAAGTAAAATAATAAAATACAAAAATTTTTAAATTTGCCAAACTATTAAAAACAAATAAACAGAAATTGAAATCAGAATTTTCTGATAATACCTATCTACATGTTAACATTTATCTTCAATAGGTTTTTATCAGTTATACTGTTACGATTTTACTAAATCCCCTCGATTATTTTCTAGATCCTTCGGGTACGATCTCTGGATTGTTAAATAAAAACTCGCCAACTTAATTTGCAGTTTCTTTCGTTATAAAGAATTAATCTAATGTCCTTTATTTTCTCAGTAATTCACAATTCAATTATACTGCACTTTACTATTTATAATCACTAACATCAACTTTCACAATTTACTCTACTTAAATGTAATTCCCAACGCGTTCACTTTACGACTTCACTGATGTTAACGCCAACCAGTTTACTTTGTCACTAACTTGACTTGCAGCTGAGTGTCGCCTTTATATAGCAGTCGGCTGCTCGCAGACGAAAGCGTAGAAGCATCGAATTGTTCGCTATGGAAGGTTCTTGTTTTATCGTTTCTAGAACGTACTAGTTATCGGCTTATCTCTTTCATCTGACATTCGCCTCGCATTTTCGCAACAATACATTTATTTTGGATGGAAACTATAATTTTTGTGTTCGTTCTACTATTTTGAGCACAATTCTGTTAGTTCTCTGTTAAATTGTGGTGAACAGGGCTCATCGATATCTGGGGTGAAATGCATCCATAGTAATCTGGCGTCGACCGCAGCAGAGAACGTAAATACAATACAAATACAACAATTACGTTGTATTTACGTTCTGTGAACCTTCTCGTTGTATTTACGTTCCCTGGTGACTATTCTTCTTCACTGATTTTAACAACAGATGTCGCCATAAATCTATTATATGTTCGTAAACAGCTGTTTCCGTCAACAAAGAGTTGAAACAAACATTTAACCTAAAGTCAAAAGATGTTGAAATTAAATCTTTTTCGGCTAATTCAAAAACACCGAGGAAGTATTCCATTATTACGAGCATTTCATCATGAGTTTTCGCAATCGGAGTCTAAACACGAAAAAGGTAGTATAAATGACAAAGTTAAACTTACCCCCGCTACTGAAGGTAGTCCCCCATTCAAGGTAAATTAATAAATTATTTATCAATATTATTTTGCTTTATAAAATAACTTTTAATTTTAATTTCAGCACAGTGTAGCCGGAGCAGTTAGTCATAAGTATCAAATATTCAACGACGAAGATGCTACCGAAATCTTTGATGTTGAGGAAGAACGCTATCGATATCAAACTGAACAGGAACCAAAACTAACTGAATACGAGGAATTTGTAGGACTGAACTTGAGACGTAGCAGCACTTTGATATACAGTTTATTCGAATATTAAGATTGCTATTTACAGATGGAAAGCACGGTGTGTTTGATATCGAGGATTTAGTTGAAGTTTTACGCAAAGAGAGTGCCGAGGATATTTTTGTATGCTCCGTACCTAAAGATCTGAAATATGTAGACTATATGGTTGTGTGTAGTGGGCGCAGTTATAGACATATGCTTGCCGTAGCGGAATTCGTAAGACGAATCTATAAAATAAAACGGAATAAGGGAGAAGTGTTGCCAAAGATTGAAGGAGAAAAGAGCCGTAAATGGATGGCGTTAGATTTAGGTACCTATATAAAATGATTTTATTTGAAGCGGTGAAAGAATATTTAATTTATGCTTTAATCTTTACAGGTAACATCGCTTTACACGTTTTCTCGCCAGAGGCTCGAGAAGAATACGATCTAGAATCGTTATGGGCAATAGGAATTGAGTATGATAAAGAAAGCCATAAACCTGAAGATCCACTTGTTGAACTATTCAAAGAGCATTCTATACCTTTAGGTGATACACAACCAAGGAATAGTAGATCCAATTGTTAATACGTTTATAATTGAGTTAAAAGATTTTGTTTTAATTATACAGTAGTAGTAAACTTCGTTAGTACTAAAATATACATAATTACCAAATTATAAAATTATTTGAAAATTTTTTATGAAAATCATATAAACTGTGAAAAACATATTCATCCTCTATTCGATCGCCATATTTTTGCCTGAGGTAGTTTGCATTCTGCTCATGTATTAGTACAGAATTCCAACCCACATTTTTCGCTGCTAAGTAATCTGTAGTTGGTCCATCTCCAATATGTAAGCATTCTTCTGGCATTAAATTCTCCAACTCGGACATACGCATAGCTAAATGGAAAATTTCCGGGTTTGGCTTTTCTACATTACAATCATATGAGTTGAGTGTAAAATCAAAATAATGTTTAATTTTTAGATTTCGTAATAAAGTGTCTAAACGGGGATCAAAGTTTGATATGACACCTAAAGCTATCGACGACTTATGCCTGGTACGGTTATCATCGACTTCGGCATCATTATGGTTTGTAGCAAGTTGCTGTTGCAAGCGCAAATAATTTAATAAATCTACACTGCCATTACAATTCTGCCAACACAAACTTGTTTTATAAAGTTCTATGAGATGGTTGGATAAATTCGCTAATTTCTCGTCTGGTATCGATGATCCGCTATCAGTGAAGGTATCTAGAAATAAATGAAATACGTTATGAAAATGTTTTTAAACGTACGCCGGAGGACAGTTTTTTAATGACTTGTTATTTTGATACAATTACTGTAATTGGTTGAGTTTCCTATTTTATGGATATGCTAAACGTCAAACATATGCTTTTTTTTAAATGACTAAGATAGTTAACTAAAAAATCATTATTCATTTCATGTTCATTTTGGCCTTTCCCTTTTGAAGGGCAAGAAACTGTGAGAAAAGATTTCTAAATATTTAAAAAAAATTTTTTTCACTTTTTCTCGTTAATCGTGGCTTGGAGACAGAAAATGATATGTCATATTGTTTTTAACATTTTTTTCTCAGCAACTTACTGCCTATAAGTTGATGCCACCATTGCTGCCAACTGATACGGGAATTACGTCCAAAATTTGGATATTTTCTATTCATCATATACCTGTATAAAAAAAGGTAATTATTTTTAAAAATCACACTTTAATAATACTCAGTTTCAGTTTCGCTCACCAGTTTGCCTTGTAATTCTGTACAAGCTCATTATTATCACAGAGTACACCAAAGAGTGCACCAATCTCTCCATATTGCTTGCCTGGTCTTGTGCGATACTGCAGTAATGTATCAGTGACGTCGAATGTTATAAGACGTATGCGACCCAAAGCACTCGACATAGTTTTTAACGGTAAGAAATCGCGGATTCGACAATTTTGAATTTGATAATTATTTTTTAATCAGCAATAATCACGCAGCGCGACAATAAAAATGTACAAATCTCATATGTATATATAGTGCACATGCGATGTTATTAGAACAAGATTCTCTTCACAACTGGCGTTTAGATGTTTTCTGCCAAAACGTACTGAAATTCCGCTCATCGATTTGGGTTTGTCTTATCACTAAAAACAAATGATGATTACCTCTGCTGACGCTTGGCACATGGATGATCGGTTATCTATATTCATAGAGACATACAAATTCTACATACATACATATACACTTAAAAATAAAAATAGAAAATGTTTATTTTCTTGGTATATTTAAAAAATTAATTATACACATGTTGCAGAGCAAAAAAAAAAAAATACAAAAATATAAATATAAAATTGATTACTATATTTCGATTAAATCTTTTGCTAGACTTTCATATTCTGGATTAGAAAACGAAGAAAGCCATAGAAATATAATATTGCTAATATTTTAATGTCAGAGTGGCCTTTGACCTGCAATCCACCGTTCAATAAGGAAACTGCTACATCAGAAGTGAGCCCTTGGATACGTGTTCGTATGTATGTTAAGCATTATTATCCGTTTCAGCTCGATAAGAATGCAAAATTTATTTATTAGAAATATTCACTTTTGAATATTTATACATACCTACTTATGTAAGCCCCTAAGCTATTGGGGATATTTGTAGTCTAAATGGATTCGTCATACAAAAAAAAAGTCCTTGAAATTTTTGACATAACGATCCAATAGTTAACTATTGTATAAAATGTACCTAATTTTGAAAATATTGAAAACACTCACACTAAATAAAGAATTTCAAAGTATCGTGTTAATATGAAATAAACAAATATATAAATACATATCAGAATCTTTTCACTTTCCGTGTACAGTTTTCGATTAATACGTGATGTTCTCAAGGGAAAAGAAATATTAGAAATGAATTGAAATTAACTAAATTATTTGTCACTGATTAATTTTTCTTTCGCCAGTTTTTTATTATGCAATATACTCGTATTATTTCTTTACTGTGTATGCATTCCTTTTAAAAGGTCTATGATTTCTGATATCAAATTTAGATAAATGCATTTTATTATTTTATTTATTTAGTATGTAAATGTACATAATAATAACAATTGTAAAGGCATATTAAGCCTGAGGGGCCAGAAGGAATAATCTAACTATAGTAAACAACAGCATTTTCACTTTTTTGATAACATTTGTTGATTTCAACATTTTTCTGTTAAGTTTTCCGCAAATTTCGTATACTGTCTTCGGATTCTACTTTGAACTTCAATATTTTGCCAAATTAGTTTTGTACGTCATGTATGTGTGTGTATGAATGTATTCATTTAAGCTCATGTGGGTCTGTCTATGGATGGATGTGTGTCTATTGCTTGCGATAAGCTATGTAAGGCGCCTATAAGTATATGACACTTTCAAATTTGTAACGATAGTGAAGTAGATATTTGAATTTCGAGGTCACCCAGTACTTAAAAAATTACAAAAGAATATTTTTTTTTTTCAAAGTATTGTAGTTACATATTTTTACCCTTTTACCTTTGAGTGTGAAATTAGAGCGTTTAATCATAACTTTTAACTTTGAAATTTTTGAGGGGACGGTATTTTCATGTAAGCTGAGACTAGCTGGTCATTCCCATGAATACCCATACCGCTAAGCGACGGCTTAACCAATAAAATTTGTTATTTTGATATTCAAAGACAAATTTAAGATCAAAATATGCCATAATAATGGAACACAATATCAGTTAAAGGGCCGCCACGAGTAAACTTACCTTTTTATGAAATTTTCGACATTAAAATCCCAAAGTGGCTGTTGTATGCCCTCAATAGCTTCACGAATTCCATTCTTGACGTCTTGAATCGATGTTGGGCTGTTGTCGTAGACCTTATTCGCCACGTGTGCCCAATGGAAGAAGTCATAAGGTGTTGAATCACAAAGCCTCGGTGGCCAATTGCCACTATTCGAGAGATAACATGGTCCAGAAAATTTTCCCTTAAAAGATGCTGTTGTTTGTGTTAAGGTAGTGATTCACCAAACCCACATAGGAACAGGGGTCATCTAACGGGTGGTCCAGGAAACTAGTTGTTTCGACGGATTTGGAGGAGAGGGAGAGGAGAGTTATATGAGGGCGGTGATCTGGCAAGCCTGTAGCTTGTTCATCTGCGTCTCGCTCATCCCTGGTGCCCAGATCGGCGCATCATAGCTTATGACCAGCTGGCCAATAGCTTTATAAGTTGCCAGCAAAGTTTTCTTGTCTCCATCCCAGGTACTGCCGGCACTTTGAGTATTGTATCGAGTATTGATTACTGCGACAGAAAACCTCCTGATGTCACCGGAGGATCACTTGCACAGCGAAGCATCTATGATATGATGATATGAGTTAAGGAGCATAATGCTTTGCTGTGCAAGCAGTTCCTATTGGGATGTTACCGCAGGGGGGACCCTAATAGGCACCTAATAGAAGCTGAACTTCCACCTAGGTCCATCAGAAACGGAGTACTAAAAAAACCGTTGGACAAGACAGCGTACGGACATGCACTGAACGGCATTCACCAGGAGTCAGTCAACACCTTCAAGACTCCCTTCCAGTGAATAATGCGCTCGGAGAAAAATCACCACCCATAGCAGACAACGAGCTCGAGCTGCCTCGAGAGACCCGCGTCACCTTGGCACAACTCAGGTCTGGATACTGTAGTAGGTTAAACTCCTACTTATCCAGAGTCGACGCCAGCATATCCAACGTATACCCTGCATGTGGGGAGTTTCCACATGACGCTAACCACCTCTTCACATGCCCCCTTAAACCAACTCATCGTTTCCTGGACCTCCCATTAGATGACTTCTGCGACTAAGATTAATCAAACCTGTACTTAAGCGGGGTTAGCGAACGGCTACAACAACAGCAGCAGCAATAACAATAACAACAACAACAACAACAACAACAGCAACAACAACAACAGAGTTACATGAGTTGGTTTTAGGGGCATACAAAGAGGTGGTAAGTGTCGTTAGGTATGTCGGGGCCGAGTCTGGATAAGTTAGAGTTTAACCTGCTGCAATATCCAGAACTAAGATGTGTTTACAGTCGTAGATTTGACGTCGTCGACTTCCACATCGAGTTCGTGGTAGCCGAGGATTTAGTGGGCTATAGCCTTAATTGTCTTGTTGTGAAGAAGTGGGAAAGGTCGTAGAGATAGCAGTTTACTTTCAAACATAAGTCAACAGTATCTTGGCCAGACGTCCCTTTCGCCCAGTAATTTCTTCAGGCTAAGAAACTGGAAGAGACTAAATATGGAAGCGCTCTTACCTCATAACCCAATTTGCGAGTTTTTAATGCATGTTGATTTCTTTTCGGTGACTGGAACGTTCTGCGTCAACCAGGCTATTCAAGTGTGGAGTCACGCGAGTTTGAAACAAACTTCGGAACCCAGAGTGATTTTTGAAAGATTCAAATCTCGTTTACCGGGAACGCCGGCCTGAACCCTTTTGAGTTCTCTGCAATCTGCCTGTCTGAGGTCCCAAATATTAGCCGTTTGCAGTAAAGGAAAGAATAATCTACCGCTGCTGCTTTCTTGAATGGAAAACAATTGGAAAATGCCTGAACTCCGTCTGTCATTATTTGTTTTTGGGGTATATGGGGTTCCATCTTCATATGGATAAGTTTTTGGAGATAAGATATAAGAATATAAATTTACTTCCCTAAAACTCGTAAACAATTAATCTTACATATCGAAAGCGAGTTTCAGATGCAACAACAGTTAACTTTCAGTTGTGTATGATTTTTATTGAATTAATTTTTATTATTTATTTCTATTTTTTGTTGACATGTTTAATCTTCACACATATCGTACTCGTACATACTAACTCATAACTTACCTAAATACCTGCAGACATATTGAAATGTGGTATGTGTGTTGATATACCTTGTGCGCATGCAGCTAAGAAATAAATATTTCGGCATTTCTTATGGCTCAATCCACATATGAATACGTGCCAGTTTTATTAATGATCGTGGGAAGGGAATGCGCGATGACGATTCTCGCAGAAGCGAAACTCTCAGGCACGCTGACTTTAAGTGCAGTTGAAAACACCTATGTACTCGTACGTAGTAAACACATAACTAGATATGTAAGTACAGCTTGTATTAGGGGAGTCGGAAAATACGATATTACAATAAAAATAAATAGCAGCAAACATTTATTTTTTTTGTTAAGACCACAATGATTATAAGATATTTTCATACAGACGGGTTGGCAATTTTTTTAAACAGCTTGAGACTATTTATTAATTTGTGGTTTTGTGTCTTGATGTCTTTTCCAACAAGGGGAGGGACCTACAGTTCATATTAAGCCGCCTCCGAATGGCTGATGGACTGTTATGAGGAGCTTTATTTCATGTCTGAAATACACTCGGAGGGATTGACATTCCCTGCCGAAATATTGCTTTATACGTTGCTATTGATCGAAAATAAAAAGGGTTTGTCTTTCCACATTGACGAAAATAGTCAGAGGGAAATCGTATTAATCCGTTCTTCATTACTGCCGTGCAATAAATAGCTAAGCTGTTACGAGCATGAAGGATGATGAAGGATGAAATCGTACAAGGAACGCCATTTGTTCAAATAAAATATAATAAATACCAGACACCTTTCTCAACTTTTGATAGTTGGTGAAAAATAATTTTATAATTTATGTGCTTCAAATCTGGAAGACTAGCGATCTTGGCATTTTGATGTCCTATTGATCTGGAGAAAACCCGCAAAATGTACTAAGGATAGCAGGTATATCCAAGAAGGATAGGCCGATTATCAGCCATCCCAATATATCATCTGCCAGCAGGACTGTACCACAAAGCGACGAGCTTCATCATTCATCATACCACCAACCGAATACAATTACTCAGTACGATCTTGTGAGAGATCTAAAACTTCCAAAAAATTAAGCTATGGTCAAATAGTCAGCAGTGAAACACATGTTTGCAGTAAAATTTACCATCTCACGGTCTAGATCAGATTCCTGACTTTTTGAAACGAGCCTAGTGCTCAATTTAAATACATTTCAAATATTCTCTCCACTCGCTTAGACAAAGACCATCTTTCTGTATGTTGTTTACTTCACAAAGACTTAGTACCGTTTATGACATGGAAAATAATAATAAAATTAAAATAGCAATAAAATTAACGGTTTCATATATAGGGCCTATTGAAAAATTTTATCAAAGCATTAAATAGAGATGGTCTAGCTTTCTGATATCTGCGTTAGAAATTCCAAAGACAAAGTAAATTAAAAATTTAAGAAGGTTTGTTGGGCCTACTCTTCCTACTCTTATACTTAGACTGCGAAACTGTGGAGAACACATTACATTAGGATACATCAACTGTGGAGAAAAGGCACCAGAGAAAGGTGCTGTCCATGTAAGATTTCTGTACATTGTGAAGCAAGAAAGTCTTCCAAATTTTCTATTACTGGTCATTATACCGTTTTCTACTTCATCATTGATACTTTAATAACTTTACATTGCATAATATTCTTTCATTAGTTTAAATATAAGCCGAAGGCCATGGCGGCCAGTGCCTTAGTTTGTTAGGGGAATAATTGCTAATAATTCTCTTTTAAATAAATAAAAAAATAAAAATATTTCTTTATCTTTAATACCACAGTTTTCACGAAGCCCCTCAATGCTATTGTGACCATATTATTCAAAGGCATGAACACACAAAATTTCTCCTAATCTTCAAAGCAAAAATACAATAATATTACAAACTTCAGCTTT